TTTTGACCCCATATCACCGCAGAAAAGAGGGGTTTCTCTTGTCAACACACACCAATATGGTAGTAGAGATGTGTAAGTGTAATGAGTGCGGGGGTGGGGAGGCGAGGGGGGGGGGTCAATTGTCCTTCCCCTGCACCTCCGATTAGCACGGTTGGCTACGTACGGTGCGAAAGAAGTTCAACATACATACAGTGGCGCTGGGAGCAGTGATGTTCATTGGGGGCGCGCCATAGCAAAAAGGTTGAGTACCACTGGCTTAAGCCATGTCAGCATTGGTGGTGTCGAGTGGCATGGCTATAGAGTGTGCAGGCGGTGCAGCTGCGCGAAAGCCCCAGACCGAATCGTGAGCCCGTGAGCTCGGCAGGAGCGCAAGAGGCTCGCAGTTGGAAGGTTGCGAGTTCGAATCGTGTTCTGTGATTGGGCTCGGCCCATCAACCTATCCTGGGTCAATAATAAAATGGGGGAGTCAACTTGTGGTCGCCCCGAGGGACCAACTCTCGCCTTTTAAGGCTTGAACGAGGAACGTTCACCACTGGATGGTGGACTACAAATCGGAAACATGCAGCACAAATGCTTCAACATGGTGCTTCGAGAAGGAAAATAACTTTTATTTTTATTTTAAGGGTTCACGAAGCTACGCGATGTTGACAAGCCAAGCTGGCGATGTGGGTTATTCTCAGGTCACGAGGGCGGTCCATCTGTGAACAACAGCTTTGTCGCTCACCGGGTTCCTCCACTATGAATGAATGAATCTGTTGAAGTTGCGCAGGCCCTGAGCCTCGTCTCCCCACCGGGGGTCGAGTCGCTCCGCTCCGACGTCCGGCCGAATGTGGCTGCCGTTTTCCAACAAATCACAGCGCATCGTCACAAGAAGCGGATAATTGTTCGTGTGGTGCCGCGTCCAGGGGAAAATTGCCGAGCCAATTGTTGGCGATGGAGTTCTCTCCTCGCATTTTTGAGCCGCAATTGACTCTCTCTTACTCCCTCTCTCATGAAGGCCGATTATCTATCTGCCTTTTATCTCGACGTGAATTTGCTTTTTGAAAATTATTCAAGAGATCAATGTTTACGCACATTCCTTTGAATTGTTTTTTTTTGTGTCCAAACGTACTTCCACGTAAACCGAACGCGTCTGTATTGCGTATTCTTGTTGTGGTTTGCGCCGTAAAGCCCTTAGCAGCTCCTTCAGAATCAGAATATGTATGTATACTGGACGAATCTGACGGAGCTATGAAGCTCTTATTGACAAAGGTCCAGTAAAATGTGTCGCGCCGCTTGTAGTTCGGCACGGTGTCCACGTGTCGAGAGCTTCTTCTGAGAGTTGAACGTGGGTCTCTTCACCTCGGCCATTCAGATTGAGTGACTCTTGCTTTTTACATTTCAGTGGCACCACACACGCACACGGGACTAGCCCGAGTAAACTAAGCTAAACTTTTAGCTCCTTTTCAGAAGCGACCTAGCCACAAATGATTGCCCAAATAAGTGGATTATCACGTGGAAATTTATTCCAGCCATATACTATAAATGTGGAAAACCCGGAGGAATTCGAGAAAATTCAACGCGACCACTGGGAGAGACACGCAAACTCAAAATATGCAGCAGACGTCAGGGTCGAGATCGAACCTACGACCTCCTACATACCAGGCGAGGCAGTTAACATCTCGCCACCGCTCACACTCGAACCTGTTCCCCTAGGTTATTTAACCCAGGTAGCCCACCGTGTGCAGCTCAGCCAAGGGTTTCCTAGAGAGGAGATCATTGGCCAAAGTCCGATGCAAACTGGGAGCCCCGGCCCCCGTTATAGAACGTGACTATGGCAGACAATGTAAATCTGTTTTTTTTTTTGGGGGGGGGGGGGTACTTAATGTAATGATATTACTCCACGCTATGAACGTCTGTGGACCAGGCGAATCTCTGTAGTGTTGAGCACCGTGCGGCCAAGCCAACCCAGACCAGCTCGGGGCTGACCACACCTCGGACCAACAAGCAAACAGGAACCGCGGGTAGCCTTGATTACCATGGCATTTGAAAAAAAAAGAGATCCTTCCAATCGGGAAGCAGTGAAGAGATAATTCGTCAGATTAACACAGCACCCGGGGGATATTCTAGTCTGTCTGCGCTGCAGCCTTGAGCGAATAGCTTGTATCACCTTCTCCCTCTCCCACCTGTCCGTGCATTGCTGGGGAAAAAACACGCTGCGCTTCCCGGCGTGAACGTGGGATTGAAAGGCAGCCACGACCTCCGAGAGGACTCCATTGACATCATGACGCAGCTGGGGTCCACCCCCCCCCCCCCTGGCTAGTGCGGCACAGTTCCCTGGGTGCGGGGGTGCCGTCACGCTGGTGGCCACCGCAGGCCACAAATCCATTCATGCCGGCGGGTACTCAGCGGCTGATCGTCATGGCAAGGAGTCGGCAGAAGTGGACATTCGTTTACCCGTTGTAAACGGACATTCTTTCGGTAAAGTCACGTAGGTAGAAAAAGAAAAGAATATAAAAAATACTTATTTTGATTCCAAAACATATTTTTATTTTGTTTTATTAAAAATAATTATTTGTGTTTTGTTTTATTTTTCTACCTACGTGACTTTACCAAAAGAACCAAAGAGTATGGATTCCTGCAGTCACGAAAGTTTCAAATCAAGATTACCCGTTGTATGTTGAACTTCTTCCGAAACGTACGTAGCTAAGCGCGCCGATCGGAGGTGCGGGAGGAGGGACACACTAAACACAAAACGCAGTTATTAAGAAATGAGTTTTCAATCTATATTTTAAAGTGCATAGCCTCCAGTAACTTCCTAATATTAGAAGGAAGAGCGTTCCACACGGCCGCAGAAGCGCATCTGAAAGCGCGCGATGCGGTGACCGCCTTTGTTCGATTGCCAGCCAAAAAGCCGTCGCTGCTGCGAGAATGACCGCAGTTGGCATGATGGATTTTTTTTCCCCATGATCGGATCAGCGAGGTATTGTGGTTTATGTGTGGCAAGCACTTCAACTCAGAGCCGCGTCTAATTTGTGCATTGTCGTTCGTTGTGACGTCCGCTTAGGTGCGCCCCAGGGATTCCTTTTATTTTTGTTTGACTGCCAGTGGACAAGGCTGTGTACTCTGGGGATTACGAAAAAACAAACAAACACAGAAGTCACGAAAACAAATGTGTTAGAGGTACACGGCTATGAATATTTTACGTGGAGAACGATCACGCGGACCTTTTGTTTGAGTCTCGCGTCGCTAAGATGAGAAGACAGACATGGCTCCAAGGCAGAATTTATTTTGCACAATGACAAAAAAACATCTTTAAATGCAAATTGATATTTCACAGCTGAAGGGAGCCCATCCGACAGAAGCCCCCCCCCCCGGCTCCACGCCTTCCCCCCGCCCCCCCTTCACACCCCCATCAACCCCCCCCCTACCCACCCCAAAAGTCGAAATCTTATCTCTCTTCCAGAATGATCAGGAATGACCTCTACAACTCTAAAACACGCGTTGAGATTATTTGACCGCTAGAAATCTCCACGCGATAAGTCACTTCGTTGAACTATCGTTTGTGGCCAGGTAGCTTCTGACAGATAAGCTAATAAGCCCAGGTGGGCTTTACCTGATAAAGTAAAAATATATATTTTAGTTTTATATTGAAAAAAAGTGATTGACTTACCTTTCCCTTACTTTGCACTCATATCGTGTCTGTGTATTGTAAGCTCCTGCCCTCGCCCCTCCTGGACATCTTCATAGCTCATCGGATTCCTCCAGTATAAATACATATTCCGATTCTATAATACAGACACACAAACAATGTGATGCTGCGTTGGCGGTGGTGCATAAAAATAAATAACAAAATAAAAACTCACACGTGTCAATAACACGGCCTCTACATATATAAACATGTAAAGGGCAACATTTCGGTCAATGGTCTTTCTTCATTAGCTGAGATTGAAACCATAGGAGATTGAGCGAATAATATTTGGAGACATTTCAACAATGCAATCCTAACCACGCTTGGATCATCTTAAATCTACCAACGTCTTATAACGTAGGCCCTTGAAAAGCGACGGAGCCATTTTTAACGGTTTTGCCTATTTTCGAAGTCATTCGACAGTCTGGCAAAAACTAGGCATTTAAAAATTTGTTTTAATCTACAAGCGTCGTACATATAGCCCGCTCGTATAAGATGCAAGCACACACCCTGAAGCGCGTGCATTTTAATTCCCTGTTAAAACACAGCCAATGTAGCCTTGCGATGACCACACACGGGCTACAGAATGAATGTACAAGTAACCCATTAACCGCGTCTAGTACAAAAATGGGTCCTTGCGAGACGAAAAATAACCATTGGGTAGGTAATTAGAATTGATTCCAGTAAGCTCGAGACTCCCAGTTAGACATTGGTCAAAAGCGGTCTGGAGTTTCTTTGTATTGAAGCAATGCCGCCGATAAGATACACTCCCCCCAGAAGGCTGCACGGCTAGGTGTGATGTATATTTAAAAAAAAAACATTTTTTTACATTTCACGTGAAAACAAATATTTAAAAAGGTGACGTTATCTCCCGGAGAACACGAGTCATTCCACGGTAACCTTTAACAAACACGTTATTTCCCTCCGCGAAAGTTTCTATAAAAATGGCACGCATTCATTATTTATTTGTGGACTGCAATATACAACTTCTCATTCATGTCCTTAAGGCAGACCCCCCCCCCCGCCACCGCCGCCCCCCCCCACCCCTTTCCTCCGGGGCGCTCTTCCATGCACGACCGCCGAAAATCCATCGCGGCAGACGAAGCAGCGGTGTCGTTGCTCGGCCAGAGGTGTCAAGCGACGCGCGAGCGCCCGGAAACACCGGGGGAGGCGTCTCCACGTTTGTAATCTTGAGAGGCTGCGTAGGCGGAGAGGGCTCGTGTACGACACCAATCCCTCCGTCACCCTCCCTGTGTGTGTGTGTGTGGAGGCGGGGGGGGAGTTATGGGGGGGGGGTGCGATTCTGATAACCTCTCTGTCGTATGGGCGAAGTATAAAACTCGGGCGCTTCCACCAAAGCCTGACACAGAAGGTGGAATCGGCTCCAGAGTCAGACTCCCAAAAGTGCGTACGTATCTGGGTGGGGAAGGGGGGGGGGGGGCGCATCTGAAAAAAAGATGTTGGTCGGGCAGAAGCCGCCACCCCGCACCACCAACCCCCTCCCCGCCACCGTTTTCGTGGCTGCATTGCAACCGAGACGCACTTTGAGCGGCTTTTGCCATCGGTGAAAAATGTGCTTGACACACACAATGGGACTGTTGCAAATCGTGTTTTTTTTGTATCTCTCTCTCGTTTTCTTTGGAGTTGCAGATCGGCACGGCACAAAGGGAGCTGCCGCCGGTTAACTTCGAGTCTGCGAACGCGCGGTGGACTTCAGGTGAGAGAGCGACGGGGAGAAGCGATGGGCGCAGTGGATTTCGGCGGCGTTAACAGTCGCGCGATCAGGAGCACGTTGTTTCTTGCCAACGATATAATGATTACACGGGAGAGGAAAGTAGTTGCGAATGTTATCAATCTAAATATGTATAATGCAGAGTACGAATGCAGATAAAATTCAATTGCTCACTTTTCGAATGTATGGTCCGAGTTTTTTTACGATTTCATCTTGGCTGGACTGTGGTAGCATTAAAGCCGTGATACATTTCGATTCTCGTCCCTTCACCTGATGAAGGCCGCTTGTGTTGTGGCCGAAACGTCGTGAGAATTTTATTGTGTTATTTTATTTTATCAATTTATTATTTTATTCTCATTCTACGCGACTTTACCGAAAGAACCAAAGAAGATGAAGCCGTGATACATGTCACGTCATTTAACTAAACCAAATAATGGAGTGTGGCCTGATTAACCTTACATGTAAAACACACTATGCAGAAATCGTGGCCAAAGATTATTTGCTAAAATGCGATTAATTTTAATGATTGGAATGGCTCGACTGTGGTAGCAAAGTGGACTGGCGATGTTAAATGGATGTGGAATTTCTACCACTGGCTCGGAGCCACCTCTTTTCGTCTTCTTGTCGCGTGGCTTCTGATGTAGACGCAGAGCGACGACTTACAATGTCACATTGAGGTGGTCAAGCCCAGATAACCGTGTCGGGAGTAGCGAAACGTATCGCCGTGATGTCTCCTCGGCATTTGTGTATTGGGGCATTGCGTCGTTATGCAAGTGGCACGGTCTGTTCTGCATGGCCACGGTCGCACCACTGCTGGAGGAGTTCGTAATGTTCCATTTGTGCGTCGGGCATCCGCATCGACTGCCGTGGTTTGTGCAGGAGATGCAGTTTAGGGTGGACCGTGAGCTTCGTAGAAGATCAAAACCGCAGATTCGAGGCCACCAAAGAGAAAAGTGCCGCGCCTCACAGCTCAGTAACGTCAGAGAGGAGGGCTGTGGGTTGCAGGGAGCCGAGGCCCCCCTGTTGTAGAACTACCCCCCCCCCCTCCTCCCTCCTGAATCGTTACCGTCCGAGTCGTAACATGTTGCGTACAATATGTCTTCGCACGCAGCGGGTGAGAGCTATAGAGCCGGGGGCAGAATGCACGGGAGACGAAATCAAAATCGCGTCGTTCACTCATTCTGTTGATCGTTTTTGTTTCGCATGGACTGTGTCGTGCCCCCCTGAGTTTTGTAAGCCCCCCCTCCCCCAGTTAAACAAGGTCACGCTATCGCAAGGTTGTCGCCTTATTCTCATTCGAGCAGGGAAGACCACGCCGACTCTGTTGTGACACCGAAGGCGACGATGGTGATGCTGAACTAAATGTGAAGATGCGCTCTCCTCTCTCTCCACCATCCCTCCCCCCTCTCCACCACCACCATCACAGCCACCCCCCCCCCCCCCCCCCCCCCCTCCGTCAGTATGAATCATCTGCTGGCCTTGACCCTGGCCTCCCTGTGCGTGACCGCGACCCGGGGTCAGTCGTGCCAGGAGGAGTGCGTGACCTGCGACCACTTGGCTCGCCAGGCGGCCGCCTTCAGCTCTCTGGTACCCAGCGGCTCCGCCTGCCGCACACTCCACGTGCTGCCTTGTGCTTGATTCAGATTGCACACACACACACACGGTGCACACACCAGACATTGGAAGACACAGATCCACCTGTAGCTCTACGAATAACGCGAACTCGCTCATCCTCGGCGGATTTTGGCTGCTGGCCATCAAACAAAGGCGGTCACCGCATCGCGCGCTTTCAGATGCGCTTCTTCGGCCGTCTGGAACGCTCTTTCCTTTCCTATATGCGGAAGCCACTCTGCAGCTATGCACTTTTAAATCTAAATTGAAAACTCATTTCTTGAGAACTGCTTCCGATTAGAACGGTTAGCTACGTAGGGTGCGAAATAAATTTAACATACATTAAGTCTCGGCACGGTGCACGATTTGATGGTAGTGTGGCCAGAACCACGCCCGGCCGCCTTTGTCTCCCCAGCGCTGATGTTGTTTACAAACCGCACCAGGTATTCAGTTAAGGCTGAGTTCCACTAGGGGTGGCCCACCGAGACCGATTTAAAAAATCAGCCACTCTGTGTTGGTCGTGAGTGGATAACCAACTCGGGTCGCCAAGTTCGTAGCGCAGCACGCTCACCACTCCCCACAAAAAGACAAAGATCCCCCGTATAGCCTTAACAGACTGTTGGGGCAAGTACTGTTCGTGAGCACCTATGAAGGCCGGCACGGCACACGATGGGGTGGGTGGCCAGCGCCACGCCCGTCCGCCTTTGTCTCCCCAGTGGCGATGTTTACACACCGCACCAGGTACTCATTTGAGGCTGAGTCGACCTAGAGGAGGCCTAGGACCGATTTAGATAATCATCACCGGTGTTGGCCATGAGCGGGAATCCAACTCGGGTCGACAAGTTCGTAGCGCAGCGCGCTAACCGCTACACCACCACTCCCCACAACACAGACATATATTCACTTATACAGGTACAGTACTATCTTGATTTGAAGCTTTCGTGACTGCAGGGATCCATACTCTTTGGTTCTTTCGGTAACGTCACGGAGGTACCTACCGTAGGTACCGACGTGACTTTACCGAAATAACTAAAGAGTATAGGTACAATACTATATATGTCTTCACACACACACTACATGTGCACCCGATATTCTATTTCCAACATGCTGTGCACGATAACGAATTAACATATATACACGCACACACTAAATATATTACTCACAATACACTCTGTTTACATTAATAAGCTGTGCACACTTAAAAGAACAACTTGGAAGTTTAGTTTGCAAGTAAAAATGTATTCCGAACCGGCAAAGTGTTTTATATATATATGACTGTGGTTTGAGGGGAAATAACGTGATCAGTTCAAAAACGTTATATTAAAATCAACTTCTCTAGATAAATGCTTGAAGATTAACCACTATGCCACTGCTCCCCACAACCACATTACCGGAGAAATGGGTCGCTGAAGCGTTATCACGAGGCTCCTGCCTGCACCACTCGCAACATCGAATCGATTTGTGTATTAGCCCGAGTGACGTTATTGACATCAACGACAAACATTCCCACTTAAAATATTATCATCAGTAGATTTGGCAACCAACGTTGCCTACACACTTTACGAATACAAAATGTAATTTCAAACGTGTGTGTCAATCCGCTCCTGGATTAAGTCCTCCACACACCGTGCATGTGAGTAGGTGGTTGTTTAACCATACTTCACCACGCTGGTCAGTGCGGGTTGGTGCAGGTTGGGTATGCAGGACTGGTTGAGATATCGCTCGCCACTGGAGCTCGCCTGGACCCGGGAATCGAACCCGGCTGTTTTCTTTGTATGGTTCAAAGTGCGTCACGCCAACCACTTCGCACCACCGCTCTCTACCCCAACAAATCACGGTGCCCTTTCATTTACCCACGAAGGCTTCAGCGAGTCTCGAGGCTTCTGCGGTTTTTTTTTCCCCTACCCGTTGAGTCCTGCATTGGGATTGTTTGGCGACAACTGGAAAACCCAGGGGAGAGACTTACGCAATACCCATGGGAGTGGTGGGGGGGGTAACGCTCACAGCTGCACACAGGATAGATTAAACCTACAGACAGACGCACTACATCGGCTCTGTGTTGACATCACCTGGCCACCTCGCAGACCCATGCCTATAAACACTTGGCAAGCCTCGGAGGGTTCATCTTTCCAAGCACTAACCAGACTGAACCCTTCTTAGCTTCCAATATCCGACTATAAATCGGGCGCACGCAGCGTGGCTGAAATTCCACATTCATGTGGTCGTAGGCAAGGTTCAATCGGCTAGGGGAGGAGGGCTGGCGACACTGGGGATATATTTCGTGGTGGGGAGCGGTGGCGGTGGTTAGCGGAGCGGCGCTACAAGCCCGGAAACCCGAGTTCGATTCCCGCTAACAGCCAACGTCAGTGACGATTATTTGAACCGGTCCGGAGCCTCCCCTAGGTCGACTCAGCCTCAACGTATTACCTGGTGCGACACGTAAACATCGCCCATTGCGAGACAAAGGCTGCCGGGCGCGGTGTTGACCACCCACCTCCTCGTGTGCCGTGCTGGCTCGCGCACAGCACTCGCCTAAAAAAGACGCCTAAGGCTATGCGGGGGACCTTTATCTTTGTGTTGGTGGTAACATGCTTGTGATAATGATAATGTCCACGGACCAATGGTCATAGATAATTGATTTCACACATTTTCAGAGGGGAGGGGGGACACTTTCGCCGATAAAACATCAGGGCCACCGCAAATGTGAAACCATTGGGGGTTTGACAGCAGCACGATGATGATGATGGTGATGGGGCGATGTGTTCACGTCTGTGTATTGTTGGGGGCCGCACTAAAGGCCACCAGGAGCCGCCAGTGACCCGCGCGAACCTTGCAACAAAGAACACCGTCTTGATATTGTCACATCATCGCCACGACTCCCCCTACCCCCCCCCTACCCCCCGACCCGCCTCCGCAGGTGTGCATCTTGGAGTGCGAGGGCTCGGTCGCATCCTCCAGCACCTGGAGGTGGTGCCGCGAGGCCGTGCACGTGCTGGCCACTCGCGACGCGGCGCTCGCTCACGCCCTGCGCGCATGGGGGGGTCGTGGCGGTGGTGTCGAAGGGGACCCGGCGACCCTCGTCGCAGGGACCAGCAGCGGCATCGTGAAGCGTTACGGGGGCTTCATGAGAAAGGGCAAGAAGCTCCACTCTGCGTCCAGCAAGGCCGCCAACGACAAGCGCTTCTCCGTCTTCTCGGAGCGAGACGGAGACGACCTCCAGAAGATGGAGGAGGCCATGGACGCGGCGCTGGGAGATCTGCAAGCGGCGTCGGCGGCGGCGGCGGCGGGGAACGCCGCTGGAGCCGAGGCGAACGGAGCTCTGGTCGAGTCGAAGCGCTACGGCGGCTTCTTCCGTCGTCAGAGAAGCGACGACGAGCAGCAGCAACAGCAGCAGCAGGAGGAGGCGGCGGCTGCGGAGGAGGAGCGAGACGAGGACGACGACGACGGAGGAGAGGGGAACGCCAACAGCAGCAGCAGCAGCGGCGGCGTCGTCGTGAGCGACGCGGCCGCCGAGGGCGAGGCCGCCGGCGCACGCGAGGGCGCGGGCCGCCGGCACGAGGTGGAGAAGCGCTACGGGGGCTTCATGCGGCGGCTGGGCAGGCCCTCAAAGAAAGAGGGCGGGCGCTACAAATCAATCCTCCGCCAGTACATGGATCTGCAGGAGCCCGGTGTTGGCGTCACCAGCGAGGAGCTCACCGAAGAAGAAGACCTTCAGCAGCAGCAGCAGCGCCTCCGCCACCACCACCAGCAGCAGCAGCAGGTGGAGGAAGATGACAAAAAGAGATTCGTGGGCTTTGCGCGGAGCTGAACGCACCGGCCCAACCACGCCGACCGTGCATTTGACGTCGCGTCCGTCTGAAGAGCGCTGCGCTCACCCCCCCCCCCCCCTCTCTCTCTATCAATGTGCTCGTCTAAAGCCGCTAATAAAAAAATATATATATGACGATGATGATGATGATGTACCCCCCTCCCCCCCACCAAAAAAATCCCCCACCTCCACCCACCCACTCCGGTGTGAGATTACTTCATGTAAGCGTCGAGAGAAGATTCCTTGGGAGATGTAACGAGATAATCATGTTATTTTTGCATTGACCCGTGATGGCATATATAGCTTAGGTGTTGATCAATGTTGAATAAAACCTATAACAGAAGTGTGCAGCATACCTGACCGCCTGCGTTGTATAGTATTACGGATTGCAATACGTCATGTCGTCGTCGATGCGGGCTGATGTAGGGACTTTGCAGTTCTGTGTCGCCTTATACTCAAGACATTGTCAACGGGAAATTGCACGGCGATCCATTTATAGATATCCCACTATACGGTTAGCAACGTTGTTTTCACTTAGTTAAATCCTCTAACGTCCTTCGTACTGTAGGGACACGGTCAGCCTGTAGGATCGGACTGTAGGGAAACAGGGGGACGATAGGGGTTGCATTGTTCCGTCGTGCTCGTTCGCCTCTCGTCTCAGGACTGCAGTCGGTCAATCCCATCGTGACCAGCAGTGTGGCGGGTATATTGGGATCGAGTTGATCCTATAGTCTGCGACTCGCCCCCTATAAGACCCCTCTCTGGCCCACCTCTGGGAAAGAGATTACCAGAGCATGTATTTTTTTGTTTGCATGTTCAGCACGGGTACCGCGCGTGGTTAATTCAGACTTAATTTCTTGCAAAAAAATATTGCCAGAAAGAGTAAAAAAGCATTCATATTTTTTCATAAGTAATAGATGCTTGGCGAGGCTATCTGCGTAGAAAAGTGACGTTGACAAAAACCCACGTAAAAAAACTGCAGCCTTAAACAAGGGGGGAGACATATATACAACGGGCGACGTTTCGGGCAATGGCCCTTCTTCATTGCAGAAGATAGACGGGAATGTTGAGTGTTTTATTTTTACTGAAGAACCCAAGGGGGCGGTTGGGAAATAGTGTGGTATCTGCAAATGGATCACCGCATACATCAACCACCAGAGTGAGACACCACGTGGGTAGCGTCGCGTCATCACACGCACACACACACGCGCACGCGCGCGCGCACTTGGCTTATGTTCGAGTTGATAATGAACGCCACAAATGTCTGGCAAATCAACGTAAATACATTGTGTTCTTGCTGTTGTGATGGACAAAATAAAATATACAAAAAATATATATATACTGCGTGTGACTTTGTCTGATGTTGATGTCATCGAGAACAGCTCCCCGCTGTGTGTGTGTGTATCCGGCTTGTCCCGCGCGCGGTTGGGGCAATGATGTCCGACGTTTCGCTCTACGCGTGGGGTGGGAGTCTTTTCAGGATATCCAGCGCGTGGAGCAAAGACGTTCGGCAGCCGAAGTCACTCGTGCCGAACAACAACAACAACAATAATCACGCGCGCGGTATGACCCCGAAAAACAAAGCAGGGGGCGAAAATGAGGAACAGAGCAACAGCGCCCCCCCCCCATCCCCCCCCCCCATTCCCCACTTCAGTGCATGCACCGAGTGTGCTGGAAACAAACAATGCCCACGTGCGGACCATCCCGGCGAGTGGGGGCAGTAGTGGAGCCTGGACAACAACAACCAACAACAACATCGCCAAATCTGCGACAACAAAAATAATCATAAGCCTCAAACAAAACAAAAAAGCCTGAAATTTGTTGAAAGCGATTTGAGTTTGAAGTAAATCATAATAACAACAAAACCCCGCTGGCGAAGGTTGCATTACCGCTATCAAAAGCAACAGCGGCAGCGTTTGCTACCGGAGATTGAGTTTGAGATTACCATATCACCGTGCCCCAGTAAGATCCCACCGCTCGTTCGGGAAGGCGAAGACGCGTCTCTGGCTTGGCGACCCATCCAGCAGTAGAGAAGCTACACACAGCAGCTCTCTCGCTCTCTCGCTCGTGACCGGGACTCGCCGATTGTAACGGGCAGCATTGGTTGGATGCGGCGTCATCGGTCCACCTCGAGCTGCTGCCACCACCACGAGCGACATATCACACCTCTACGCGTTTCAAAAATCCCACACCTTGCATTCATTCCCCTTTCGAGTGCCTGCCTTCACTCGGCCAAAAGAGGACCGACTCCAGGGAAGGACTGTGGTCGTGAGACGAGACGGCATGAGCAAGAGATCCGTGAAAAAGAGCTTCATAGCTCATCGGATTCCTCCAGTATAAATAAAGATTCAGATTCTTACAGCGCAATGCAACTCCTATAGTGAGCGCCGTCTTGCTTCCATAGTCCGATCCTACAAGCTGACCGCATCCCTAAAGTCCGATCCGACAGCCTAATCGCATTCCTACAGTCCCATACTATAGGCGGATCTCATTCCTTGGAGACTACGCGTGAGACGGGAGTCACGGGACTGGAATGGGGTGAGATAAGCTGGAGAATCGGACCGTAGGGTGCTTAAGTCGAGTAACAGGTCGGAGAGCTAAACTCCAATATCGCTCAAACGCCAGGTCTGATATGCCCAGGTAAGTCCGTAATTGCTGGGAAGATTTCAAACTTATACCGTATTTTCCGGATTATAAGACGCTCCGGATAGTAAGACGCATCCCAAACCCGTGCCCGGTGTGACACCCACACACACGAATCTACCGGATTACAAGACGCAGCCCAAACACTTGCTTTAAAAAACACACACACAGCAAAGTGCTTCTTATATATTCCGGAGACTGTAGAGGAGCGTACGATTATCATCTGTTAGGTAATAACAAAAAAAACAACGTTTACTCGCATTCAAAAACTGCCAAGATCACAACGAGACTCCCTGCTGCGATTGCTGAACACCATTGACCCCTTGCTCCGATTAGCACGGTTGGCTACGTGCGGTGCGAAAGAAGTTCAACACACACACGCATATATAATGCCCAGCTCTTGTTCAGTCCATGCCTCCCGCCGAGCCCTGCCGCTGTTTGGCTTGGAGCATAGCGAGGGGTTGGGGCCCAGCTACCCGCTCAGGTATCACTCGCCACTGGTGTTAGCCGTGGCTGGGAATCGAACTCGGGTAGTCAAGTTTCAGAGCGTGCTGCGCTTCACGAACCGCTGTACCACCGCTCACGACACAGGTATTGAATTTCGCCACGAACTTTTTTTTTCTAATCGACACGCATCTAAATCGATTCGCCTGATTTAGATGCGTGTTCATTTTAAACAAATTAAATCTCAATTGAAAACTAATTTCGCTAGAAGATCCGATGTTTCGTTTGTGGTCCTTGCCCCGCACCTCCGATTAGCACGATTTTCTACAAAAGCAGTTCAAACATACATAAACATATTGCATAAAAAAACTTCTACTGCCCCGTATCAATCCACTGCTGGATGAAGGTCTTTCCCGTGCCGTGGAGGGGAATAGAGGGGGGGAGGGTGTGATTTTTGGTTACGTTTTTGGCCATACTTCACCACACGCTGGTCAGTGCGAGTTTGTTAAATGCCACTTAGCGCACAGGCATGGAGGCACAGCAGTCCACAGTTACAGCGGCGGTTTCGGTCCCGCCACTCTCCGGTGCTCACTGCCCCCCCCCCCCCACGCATGCTACGACTCTCATCACCGTCACACGAGGTCGCAATCGCCTCCTCGCGAAAGAGCCCCCACCCCCCCACCACGACTCAGGACATGGCCCGGGGCTTCGATCTTCCGCCGTGAAGCTCCGCAGGATCCCCCGAGCCTCCATGTTGAGCTTCTTTCGCACCGCACGTAGCCAGCTGCATAATCCATCACGGTGGCAGATGACGATGAGGACGCGAATTCCTTACCACGACGACGATGCGTGAATGGGCATTTAAACTCTCAGGCAGTGTGCGGCGACTCGAGTGACGACCCAGAGCCGAATCGTGGAGCGCAGAAGCGACTCAATTCCTCGCTCACAGACAGCGACGGAGGAGGCATCATCACAGCGATCCTGTCCCCGATGTAAAATATACAGCTAAAATTATCATCATCAACATAAGCCACACGGCTTATGTTGATGATGATGATTGTTGTGACGGATGGAACGTAACTGCACAAAGGTAGGCTGGAGCGAAAGCCACAAAAACTGAGCCGAACAGGGACGGTAAAGACGGCAAAATCATCGCGACAATTGGTAGATTCAATTGTCGAGAATCATGTCGAAGTTCTTTTAATCAGTGACGCCCTCCCCGACTGCCAAAAGCCGGCACACGCCACCTCGTGGCTGCACGTGGCCACAGCGAGCATCCTCCACCTCCACTCGCCTCTCTCCCCTCCGCTCAAGTTTCACGCGTAGGCTTCACCATCACTTGCACACCCCCCCCCCCCCCGACAACCCCGTAGCGTCCCACTAACAAAGCCACGCTCTGGTCACGGGGGCAGAAACAAACAAAGATACCCCGTATAGCCTTTACAGACCTTTGGGGTAAGTGCTGCTAGCGAGCACTTATTAAAAGAAAAAGGTCGGTACGGCACACGAGGGGGTGGGGTGGTGAGCACCACGCCCGGCCGCCTTTGTTTCCCTCGCGGCGACGTTTACACACCGCACCGGGTACTCATTTGAGGCCGAGTCGACCTAGGGGGAGGGCCCAGGGGCCGGTTCAAAAAAAGTCGTCATTGGGTGTCGGTGACTGCGAAACGAACTCGGCTCGCCATGTTCGTATCGTAGCGTGCCGAGCGGACAAGCAAACGCCTGATCACCAGCGGATGCACCACGGGTTCATCATCACCATCAGCAGCTATGATCGACTCATTTAAAGACACACACTCTCTCGTTAATTCCCTTCGGATGCTGCCGTGGCGTCATGGCCAGCGCACTGGACTTGCAACGCAGAGGGTTACCGGTTCGAACCGATATCCCCATGCGACAGACGAAAGAAATTCGCGCCACAAATTGGCACAGCACCACACCGAGTCGCCTGGCGAGTCGCGTGCGTTTTGGGACAAGGCGTGGGGTTATTCCCACCGCTTCAATCGACGTCTGGCGAGCGTGGACGAGTAGACCAAAATATCCACTAGGGAGAGCCTCTCTAGAGCTCCCGCAATCGAACAATTAGTTTTATAACGAGTCGTCGTCCGTGCAATTTGCGTCTCCCACAATCGCCGAGTATGAACCACACACAGCCAAGCTGGAAGGCTGTTAGGAGGCGAGGGGGGGCACCGTCGCTTGCTCCGCAGCTCTCTACACCTAAAGATGTTCCCAGCCGACCGGTGACGATTGTGTATCACCAACGAGGGAGGGAACCGGGAGCACCTGGAGGTAAACGACGCACTCGAGGGAGCAACGCACCATCCCGTACAGAACTGGCGGATCACATCAGTCCACGCCGTGCTGTACCGCATTCTGCCTGCGTGCCAGGGTACGGCGCCTCCTCGATGCCCGCGCTGATCCACCAAACCCTCAGCTGCGGTGGCTTCGCACGTGGCCTGTTACCCGCCGCTGCTGTGGAGGCAGCGGCGGGTAACAGGCCACGTGCGAAACCACCGCACCTCCGGCGTGAGCAAAGCGATGAGAAGAAGGCGCCTCTCGCTTGTGCCGTACCTCGCGGGCTACTTCGGGTTGCCGTTAGCCGTGACTGGGAATCGAACTCGGGTGGGCGGGTCCTTCGGCTTTCGCGCAGCGCGCTACGCGTCCGCGCCAGCGTCGTTCGCAAGTGGATCAATTGCGGGGTCCTAATTGGATGACGTAAATAGAACCACCCCCCACCCCCCATCCAACCCTCCACAATTAAAACAACCACTCTGTGATAATTATTTTTTTTGAAAAAAAAATCACTTTATTTAATTCACTTTATTTATTATTGTTCTTTTTCTTTCTACGTGACTTTACCGAAAGAACCAAAGAATAGACTCGTGAGTGTCCTGCCCATTGAGCAATTAGAAATCAAGGGATCACGTGGCACACAGCGCTCACCCTTTCACAGGTGAAGCGGGCAGTATTCACAATGCCTCGACCTTGAGCACGCAAAGCACGTGGCCTCAACCCCATCCGCAGGTAATTGCGGATTACGATTCGTGCGCTGCGGAAGATATCCACTGCACGGGTGTCTCGGGAGAGGAGAGATTACCCCACTTGTACAAATACAGAGATTAATGTATGCATATATATTAAACGTGTGTAAATATTTGCACCTTGTCTTAGGTCAGAATTTTTTTTTTTCAGGGAGGTGAAAACGCTCTGGGTGTAATGCGTATTGTAAATTATTCGCACTTTACAACATGGGGATCCATAGTCTCACATAGCGACCCGCAGACTCACGCCGAGACCCACAATTTCACGCAGACACCCAGAGACTCAGGCAGAGACCCACAGATGCACACGGACACCCACATACTCAGAGAAACTCACGCTCCCACAGAGACCCATAGTCTCGCACAGAGACTCGTACTCACGCGAAGACCCACACACTCACGCAGAGACCCCGCTGAGAAACTGTCATGCCCTGGCACAGTGGCTTCATCATCAGCGCAGGAGCAGTTCAGGCATCGCTCGCTACCGATGTTGGTCGTTGTGTGATCGCGGGGACCGAACTCGGGTTCGCCCGGGTTCCAAGCGCAGACGCGCTGACCCCCTTCGCCGCCACTCACTCCACCCTCGATTGACACGCGGACACATTTTGCGGTAGTCCAATTCTCAAGGTGGTGGTCTCGTGGCGTCGTCGTCGTCTTCGACAAGGCGGTGGTGCTCTGCTTGTTTTGCCGCGCAACACGGACGGCGACAGCGAATCACACTCGAGAACGACGGCTGCGAGCAAAGCGCGCGCGCGACGGAGAGATGATGGCTACGATGATGATGATGGACGCATGCCGTGCAGTCGAAGAAGCTCGTAAAGAGACAGAGGCAATGGGCTCAAGAAGTAACCAACGGCGTGTCGTCATCATAGAGTTTATTCCTCTTTACGATGTTAGATAATTGAGTGACCGATTCGCGTCAGCGTGGGGATCGTGTCAGCGTGGGGTGTTGGTTGTTGTTCCTGCTTGCCATATACTCTGCAAACTCGGTTCTGTGTGCGCTCTTGTGGATTGTAAAACACACAAAGAAGAAGAAGAAGAATAAAAATAATAATGCATATGCCGTGTGGCGGGCGAAATGACGACACGGACATGTGTTGATGGATCAAGGCCGACAGTGGTTAACATCCCAAGGGTTGCCGCGGCAAGGCGATATACCACGATACACGGCACATCCTCCGATGTAATTATCCACAACAGCAGCCTTGCAAATCGCTTGGTCCGGTTTTTTTTTGTCTCTTCTTAAATACGATCGTGAAACGTCGCCGCTCGCGAAGGCTCGCTTGTGAAGTGTTTTCTTTACGCGACAACACGTGCGTTCATTAAACCAACACCTCTGTGCGCACTTGTTTAAACACATCGCTATAACCAATTACGATTTTAGTTACTTTGCATTTTTTTACCGGAGTAGTTGATGGCTCGGCGGTTATAAGGCGCCATCGTCTGCATAGCTCTTGCAATTACTCGATCAGGATATAATGCGGGTCTTCATGCAACAGATTTTTTTTTGGTTGGATCGTGTAAATATATAAATGTGTCGTTAAAACCGCCACCACCCGACATTAGTCACTACTGGCCAAGACTAATTAGATAATCTATCGAAATTAAAAGAAATAAAATTAATTTTAACCGTTCGGATAGGTACCTACTTAGTGCCGCGTGGAAGCGAAACATCAAATAATACATTGTGTAAATGCATGCCTATACAGAGCACCATACCTCAATAGGGATTACCGTTGGTACGGATATTTTTGTAAACGCAATGCACAGGAAGTATGAGATCAATGGGCACGCATAATGCGCATACATAATTGTACGTTGATTAATTCATCCTCCCCCACTTTTTGGTGCACGAAGAGAGCACAAGTGGTGTCATCACATCTACAGTTGCTAAACCCTAACGAGTAGCCCTGAAATCGTTACCGGACTGTCGAAAGCACGAACGAGTCGATGGCAATGACGCAACGCTCGCGAAATACTTCGACGGTGAGGTTGTGTGGGAAGTTGACATCGCGATGCACATCACATCGTGAACAGTAATGTGGCATCGCGTCGTGGTAAAATATTCTACGCGGCGACCCCCCGGTATAAATAACTGAATCGAGACACGAATTCAACAAAACGCCAACGGGCTAGCGCTCGTTCACCATGACATTTCTCAGGAACTTCAGCAAGGTTTTCTTGTCGCACATCTCCGCGGGATTCATGAAGCCCCCGTAGCGTTTCTGCTCCGCGTGGTCGAAATCTCGCATCTCAGCCTCTACCACCTCCACATCCTCCTGACCCTCACCCTCCTGATCCTGCTGCTGCTGCTGATCCCCTTTCCACTGCTGCTGCTGCCACGGGTAGACGTCCCAAGGTGTCCCCAGATTCCCCTGCAGCTCACGTCGCTGCGCTTGCTCCCGGACCTCGGCGCCGTCATCCGTCTGCGCGCGCTCTCCTCCGCCCTGCGCGGTGCCCTTAGTGGGACGCCGCTTCTTGCCGTACTTGGTACCCCAGCGGAAGTGCTGCACCGTGTACGGCCTCGGCGCCGTGGCGCCCCTCCTGCGGACAGCCTCGAGATCCGGCAGGGAGGAGGAGTAGGAAGATGGCGCGCCGCTCAGGAAGCGCCCCAGGAGGTGCTCCAGCAGCAGGTGCTCCAGCGAGCCGGAGGGCGACGCGGCTGGGTCAGTGATGGCCTCGTCGCACGCGTACACGTCTGCCTGCTGGGGCAACGACGCGCGGTGAGCCGTCAGCCCGCGTGCGCCTGGTTTACAGTGCCCCATTGAAAACCGCTCGTGGAGAAAATGTTGCAACTCTCATTTCAGCCCCCCCGTGGTGTCAAACGTATAGTCCGCAGCTATCATTATGACGATGCACTCTTTGTCTCTGGCCTCTCTATATATGTACTGCACGTGTGTGTCTGTGTGCTGTGAAGAAGCGTCATTGCCTGAAACGTCGCCCGTTATACATTGCATATTTTAAGGCAGCAGTTATGATTATTATTATTGGCCAATGTTGAACGGTGTTTTTGTTTATGGAGCTGTCCAGAGGCTGAGCTCCGGATAGTCTAACCCCGGAGGACTTAACCCCGAATCACACTCCTAAGTAGGTATATTTTCGAATGTGCTGCATAATCGTCTGATGAGTTTTCTGGTTTGCACCCATGGTTTGCCACCCGTCCCCGGTTTGATCTTGTCCGGGTGTCACCCCGACAGTTAATTATCGGCGTCTGTGTTTTGTCGGCTAGGAATGTGATCGTCTTGCATGATACTTGCACGAGTTTGGTCAGGGCTCGGTCAGGGCTCGGTCAGGGCTCGCCAACCTGCGTGCGGCTCTTTGAGAGCTGCTGCTCCGTGACGTCACCTTATGGCCGCCGTGCATTGTGGCTCTTGAAATATTTAGGGTTTTTTTAAAATCAAAGTCGAATGAACAAAAATCGTCTCTTCTTGTGATTTTGATTTGCCGACGCCCGGGCGCGAGACTGATGGAGAGACCCGTCTGTGGTTTGGTCTGTGGACGAGGCGGTAACCCCGAGTTGCAGCGCACACTATCGTCCGGCGCGATGTCCGACGTTTCGCTCCACGTGCCGGGCGAACTTCTTCGCGACACTTTAACCGCTCATCGGCTTCCTCCGGTATAAACACGTATTCCGATATTTAGCCTGCTTCTACTGCTGCTGCTGTGAGCGGTCGTGCTTGCTCGCGACAACTGCTGCCACTGCGGTGCCGCTACGTACCCGAGTCCCTGGCAGCGCCCCCGCGATCCTTGCCGGGGGGAGTCGGCACGGCTCCACGAGGAGGGGGGCCCCGCGGCACGGCCCGGGTGCCAGCGCGGACAGTGCCGCGCACACGGAGAGCACGAGCAGTGGCAGCGGCGAGCGCATGGCTGCGTCGCGGGGGGGGTAGGGGGGACACAGAGTGGGGCGCCTTACTGCTGGGGGGGGGGGGTGGCAGTTCTCCCCCTTCAATCAGCCCTGCCGTGCGGAACCCGGGCTGTTGCTGTTCGCGGAGTTTCTGACACTATTACGAGCACTTTCACTGACTCTAACCCTGAGCAATTAGCCAAGTAGCCACCAGTGCCAACCCTGTCACTTACTCCCCAAACCAGCTACTCGGACTAACCCAATCCCTAAAACCTTAAACAATTAGCGGACAAGTCACTGGTACTCTCCCTTCTACCGACCAAAAACTATAACCAACCATATTCTTGGTTCTTTCGGTAAAGTCACGTAGAAGGGAAACAATAAAATAATAAAAAATATAAAACAATAAAATTCTCACGACGTTTCGACTGCAACACAAGCAATCATCATCAGGTGTGAAAACCACAGCAAGAATTTTTTTAAAAAGTGGCGGTTATTTTTAACGTTAGCCACTTTAAAAAAAAATATTGCTGTGGTTTTCACACCTGATGATGATTGCTTGTGTTGCAGTCGAAACGTCGTGAGAATTTTATTGTTTTACATTTTTATTATTTTATTGTTTCCCTTCTACGTGACTTTACCGAAAGAACCAAGAATATTAATCCTTGCAGTCACGAAAGCTTTAAATCACAACTATAACCAACCACTCGTGCTAAACCTTTCATTCACCATAGCCCAATATACTTGGCCTTTCAGCCGCTCGTGCTTTCTTTCACACTGACCCTACCCGTACCTCCCATTAGCACGGTTGGCTACGTACGCTGCGAAAGAAGTTCAACATACGTAAACACATACCCCGTAACCCCCTCTCACCTCTCAACTCTCAACTCTCACGAGACATTTTAGATTTTATAACATTTTTTTTACTTAAGAACATTTTGTCAGTAAACACGTGACTTCTTTAATATAAAATATGCGACAATATTCAAACGATATATAAGGATACTTTACACAAAGTGACGATACAATTATCGTGTAACTTATATCGTGTGATATATCGCCGTATCGCAGCAACTCTAATTTTAAAATACAGTGTGCTTCAAAAGAATGTTAACACTTAGGGGGATTTGCAACAAAACCACAGGAAACCACCTGGAGAAAACACGAGGCATGCGTTGACAATCATGGTGAACAAGTGGAGACTCTTTTACCTTTTGAAGCTATAAGCATACATTTGTTATCACGTTACAGTGTATTATCCGCTATTTTTCCATTAAAAACGATAGTCCCATTTAAGTGTTGACATTTTTTTGAAGCACCCCATATAACCCAAAAACCCTCCTCCTTCACGTATCTGTCCGTTCACGTAAGCGACAAGAAGAGTATTTCGTTTCGCACATCCCATCAGCCGCGCGGCCTTCCGGCAGCATTCACTCAACGCAAGCACAACTCTGGGCAGATTTAGACATTTGGTGTCAGACGTGGCTCGAACCGACAATTCATACACAAAGGGGTGCTCTCTGTCAAGGATTGACATCGTGGGATCGTGGGACGTGACCACGGCTTAGCGTGGGAGGGCTTCATCCAGCAGTGGAGTGATGGTGACCGATGGTGTGGGAGCGGGAGGGCTTTCATCCATCAGTGGAGCGATGATGGCCGATGGTGTGGGAGCGGGGGGGGGGGGGCTTTCATCCAGCAGTGGAGTGATGATGGCCGATGGTGACGATCCGTACGGCGCCGCGCTTGGCCGTTACGAACGCGGATGGTGGGAGCTGGGGAGGGGTGACGATGCGGCGGGGATTGGGGGCCACTCACCTGGATTCACGTGCAGAGCGCGCGCCGCCTGCAATCGACCCACAAGTATCCGGCCACGCCACTCGCTAGGGGACTTTTATAGTTGACAAAGGAGGGGGAGGGGGAAGGGGGGGTGCTGCGAGATTGGGGGGGGGGGGGTAGTGGTAGTGGGGCGGGGGGGTCCACATTAATGGAATTGCGTGAGCGCTTCGGACACAACACCCCCGCCGGCCCCCCACCTCGCCTCCAGCGTGCGCACGTTCCACATTGTGGCGGCGGCGATGCGATTCGTGCGATTCTACGCCGAGATGTCCTCAATTGGGTCATTTTTTTACTTAACATTCCATTCGGAGGTGCGAGCCGCGCCGCGCACTATCAGCTGGGGGGGGCGGGGGGCCTTGTGTCAACAAGTCGAATGCAATGAACAATTGTGGGGTTGTTGTTTTTTTAAGCCGATTCGCGAAGAAAGATTTCGCCGTTATTAATGCGACGTGTGGCAAAGTTCCGCTGCTGGTGATAATCTTCATCATCATATTCGTCAGCGGCCCGTGGTCTATCCACCGCTGGATTGAAGGCCTTCTCTCCCAAAGCCGCCGCCACCATCTCTCTCACGAATCCTACGATGTAATAATCCAGCAGCAGGAGCGTGATTACCACTGACATTGTCTCGCCATTAATGCCATCTTATCACCATCGCCACCATCACAAAACATCCCCCAATAGCGTTTAACAGACTGTTGGGGCAAGTGCTGTTCGCGAACACCCTTGTGAGGTCGTAACGGCACCTGAGGGAAGTGGGTGGCCAGCACCACGCCCAGCGCCACCACCGTGATCACCACCATCACACCTAGCGAACACAGTCACCATCTCACCACCACATACCTTCATCAGCCATGGATTATCTACTGCTGGATGAAAGTCTCACCCGCCAAGCTGCCACCATCTCTTACGATATTGCGATGTTAAAATTCCACCTCGTAGTGCGCGTTCGTGGAAGAGGAGGCCAGGACCGGAATTGAACCCGGGTCTCGACTCAAGTGGCTTGGGTTTACAGGGCAATGCGATGCGAACCACTGTGCCACTGCTCCACTAAAAAAAAATATCTAATCACTTCATTTTTTCAGGCCAAACTTCTGTAACAAAATTGACAATGCTTTTTTCATGAGATCGTTTTTTTTTTTGCTCAAATCAAAATCCATCGTAAATGATGTCAGGTTAGATCGCGAAAATAACAATGCGTCGTTTACCACCTGACATAGCCAATTAGTAGGGTTTATCACGTGAACGAAACGTGCCAATTGGTTACTTCAGCACACCGTTTGTGTTGGAGAATAAACCCACATTTACAATTTGAGTACGACGTTTCGCTGGTCATTACAACCAGCTTCACAACCAGCTGCGGTGGCCAGACGTTATCTCCCTCGCCAGGTATGCAGGAAATCGTGGGTTCGATCTCGACGTTGACGTCTGTATATTTGGAGTTTGCGTGTTCTCCCCGTGGTTGTGCGGATTTTTCTCCGGGCCCTCCGGTTTATCCCTACACATTTAGAAACAACGTCACGCGTTTAGAGTATTTGGCTGCTTATAGATTTTCACATGATAAGCCACTTCGTTGAACTATCATTTGTGACCAGGTCGCTTCTGAAAAAGAGCTACATAGCTCAGTGGGCCTTTCCTGGTAAGATAAAAAAAATAGTTTAAAGTTTAGAGTTTTAAAAACATCCAATTTTCAACTAATTTGAGATTTTCTGAGGTCACATTACAATGCCCAAGGCTGCGCGCTTCTAAAGGTGCAGAGCGCCGGGGCCTTTACTATTAGCACGGTTGGCTACGTGCGGCACGATTAGAAGTTCAACAAACGTACGTACATTTGTGATGAACACGATTGTGTAGGAAGGACACTTCGGCACAGCAATCTCTGACTTCCCTTTTCACCGCGGTTGTTTCTGTCTCTCCCCTCGCAGCAATTCTAATACAATTCTTCTTCTCGTTTTTAGTACAATAACAACAACAAAAACCCCCATCAGGATGTGCAACTTTATTCTCTGTTCGGGAGGCAATACAAATCCATTTCCCGTTGATTGTTTGCGTTCCTGCGACCGTGTCGAAGCTCATCGATTTGCACGGTTGGCTACGTACGGTGCCAAAGAAGGGCAACGTACATAAAACAAAGACAAAGATCCGCCCGCGTGTAGCCACTAACAGCCTGTCGGGGCAAGTGCTGTTAGCGAGCGCCTATGAAGGCCGGCACGGCACACGAGGGGGTGGCTGGCCAGCACCACGCCCAGCCGCATTTGTCTCCCGAGTGGCGATGTTTACTACACACCACACCAGGAACTCCTTTGAGGCTGAGTCGACATACATACATACGTGCAGACACACACGGGCTACGTTTGTTTTACTCAGTGGGAAATCGCTTCTTCTCCTCTGCTGCTCTTTGTGTCTGGAACTCCTTTGCACCCCCCCCCCACCCCGCCTGCCATGCTATCGATGCCCCGTGGGTGTGCGATAGACCGCGTTCAGTTTGCGATTGAGCTTTTAATCATTCATGAAGCAAGACACATTTTGTTCAAGCACATTTAAGATGAGTCCAGCATTATTACCGGAGTTCTACGGCATATTTCAGATGAGTCACGACCCAGGGAACATATCTTGAACACGCACGTCTTGTGAAACACGTGGAAACGCTACGTCTGCTGTCAACCTCTTATATCGCAACTACCATGGTGACTGTTCCCATGAACTTCACTCATTGAATAATCCTTCCACATTGAGAACTCCGATCTACCACACTTACCGTTTCACTCTCATCCTCCACACTGCGTTCAACCACCACCAAAAACCACGACACCGCAGGTCACAACAACACTCTCACTCACCAACCCACCAACCAACTCTCACTCACCAACCCACCAACCAACTCAACCATCCACCCACTCACTCATCACACCGCAAGTCAGAACCACACTCTCACTCACCAACCCACTCAACCATCCACCCACTCACTCATCACACCGCAGGTCAGAACCACACTCTCACTCACCAACCCATTTACCCACCCACCCACTCACCACAATGCAGGTCACAACAACACTCTCACTCACCAACCCACTCACCCATCCACCCACTCACTCATCACACCGCAGGTCAGAACCACACTCTCACTCACCAACCCATTTACTCACCCACTCACGCACCACACTGCAGGTCACAACAATCGCAGTCACCAACCCACCCACCCACTCACCACACTGCAGGTCACAACAACACTCTCACTCACCAACCCACTTACCCACGCACTCACTCACCACACTGCAGGTCACAACAATCTCATTCACCAACCCACCAACCCACTCACCACACTGCAGGTCACAACAACACTCTCACTCACCAACCCACTTACCCACGCACTCACTCACCACACTGCAGGTCATACCACCTTCTCTGTACACTTCTCGTTCACCACCGCTCAATTTTACGAAATCCCTTCACCCGTCGATTCCCTCCACCCCCCCTGCCCAAATTATCACAACAATCTCGCTCAAATTCGCGAAACGCGTCGACTCCCAACTCCAACAGTGCTGTTTGTTGCCATCCGCTTGGCGATTTTTCGGCCCGCGCAAATTCGAGCGAGGGAACGGTGGCAGCTGAGCCTCGATGTCGACGCGAGGTTTTTTGTCGTCGTTGTTGTCGTCATTGTTGTTGTTGTTGTTCACACTACGCTGGGCCGACGCGTTCGCTCGCAGCGGCGTCACGGCGCCGCCGTGGGCCCTCGCCATCCGCGGGAACGTTCCCGGCCCCCCTCGCCGAGTAGCAGGCGAGCGCGATGAAGACGAACCCCAGGAGCTTGAGGGCTACCGCCAGGCTGAAGACGGCGCGCGCGAGCGAGCCGGTGTCGTACCGCCAACACGAGCCGGCGGGCCGCTCGCCCACGCCCCCTCCTCCTCCGCCGCCGCGGCCGCCCCAGAGCACGCACGTCGCGTCTATCACGGCGCCAAAGTAGACGGGCGTCGGGATGTAGGCTACGGGAAGACGAGGCACGGATACAGGCAATTTGAATCGGTGGTTGGCATAGGGCCCCCACCCTCTCCCTGTGCAAGGAGTTAAATAGCCTCCCCCCCCAACCCGTCAACTCACCCAGCCAATCACCCCACGTCAAATCCCCCCACCCCCCCCTCTTCATAGGCCGGTGCCTGGAACCTTCCGACCCGTGGCCGAGGTGGAGTTGCACTACCTGCACACGGGATAGCTACGCCAGCGGCTGGAATTACGAACCCGGGCCTGGGTTTGGCTTCTCCTGGCGATACGGTGCATCGAGTCAAGACAAATTTCCCGCTCAATTGAGCACGAGGGTGGTGCTTATTTCCCGTTTACCGCCTTACTGAGCCAGTAGTGGAAATTCCACATTCATATGGCAGGAGTGAGACTTCAACTCAGAGTGACAACCCCCAACCAGGATTTGAACCGGCGCATTCTGATTGCGCTGCGAATCCTGGCTGGTACATCATTATGAGTTATGAGTTTATTGTAACGCCAATTGTGATGACGCTGAAACACACATACAATTTGCATGCATACACTACGACGCTGCAACAACAACAACAAAAATCCGGTCCAATTTAACCCCAAACCAAGTTCATTACATCAATGCCAACGTAACGTTGTATGTGCAGCGTAAATTTTACTCTTAGCCCTCCCGTCAATCATCCCTCTGCAGTCCGGCGATGCCACGGGCCACCCCTCGCGAGTCCCGTACATCGACGATCACCCCTTGCAGCGACGTGGCCCTGCCCAAGTCGCCGCTTACTCTGCTCGCGTTTCTTCTTCTCCGCCGTCTCCTCCGTCGGGTGTTCTCATTCACGCCTCTACCGTGCGTGTACGTGCATGTTGGACTTCTTTCGCACCGTGCGTAGCCAACCGAGCTCATCGGAGGTGCGGGGGAAGGACAAACAAACTGAACACAAAAAGGAGTTCTAAAAAAAAGGAGTTTTCAATATTAAATTTAAAGGTGCGTACTTCCAGTGTCTCCATCTCAATTCTCTCTCCAACCTGCAGTGTTCTTCGATTATTTCCCAGTGAAAGGAAATTAAAATAAAATAAAAACCCCACCATCTTCAAACTCTTCTGGATGCTCACATCTTGCGATGCGGGTTGCGCTTTAGACTCTAATTGCATCGTGATTGTCCAATTATACTCTCCCTGCCCCGGAAACCTCCTACCCCTGACCTGCTCCGGCACGATAAGAGCCTTTTAAAAACATTCCCTGCTCTCTCCCAAGGTGACGTGCGTGTGAGTGGCCACTCTACCTTCACCCCAACGTGTTGGGACGCAGTCGCAGTTCGACGCCATGTAGACACACACACAGTGTACGGCAGAGAGAGAGAGAGAGACGTAACGCGGCTCGAGAATGATTTGTTGGGAGCGATGGTCGAAGGAGTTGGGAGCGATTAGCGAGCCACCGGAGCTATGTCACTTTTAAATAATCTGCATTGAAAACTCATTCCTTTTTCAGTTTAGTTTGTTGTCCTTCCCCCGCACCTCAGATTGGCACGTTTGGCTACGTACGGTGCAAAAGAAGTTCTACACATGTACGGAATAGGAGCTACAGCTGGGTCGCTTCAACCTCAGTTCATTAGTGACCAGCCCCCCATGCTGCTGACGAGTTTCACGGTTATCCTCTTTCTCCGTTGGCGGGAGCTCCAGTGCTTCTGTCGCCCCGCATCCGAGTCGGCGTTCTGGTCAACTCCGAAGCCTTGGGCTTTTCTCGCGTTGCATCTCTGCGGTTCTCTCTCATCGCGCCTTTACAACCAGCTGCGGTGGCCAGATGTTACCCCACCTCGCCAGGTATAAAATCAAAGCATTGCTTCCATAACAGAGGTTTTTTTTTGGGGTCAGACCGCGTAAATATGTAAATGTGTCGTTAAACCCGCCACCACCCGACGCAGCCAATGAGTAAGGTTTGTCGCGTCAACAGAACGTGCCAATTCGTCGCTAGTACAGCACGCCGGTGTGTTGGAGAGTAAACCCACAATATTTACAATTCGTTTACTCTCCAACACACCGTTGTGCTGTACTAGTAACGAATTGGCATGTGTTATTTACGTAAACAAATCTTATTAATTGGCCGTGTCAGGTGGTGGCGGGTTTAACGACACATCTAGATTTACACGATCTAGCCCAAAAACCTTTATTATGGATAATATTGGTCACGAAAGCCTACGTATTAAACAGATACATCACTTGACAACGATGCTTCGTTTCGAGAGCGAGCCGCGCAAAATAAAAAGGCGACACCCATTACCGGGTGATGCTCTACTATATGTAGAGGACCACAGAGCTTGGGCAATTGTTGGCGCCGGCTAACTGCCTGGCTGCCTTCCTGCTTGTCTGTGGTTCCTAGGCGAGTGTGAGAACGATGACGCTACGAATAAGGAAACTTCGACTTTTACCGCTCGAATTCCTGATCCGATTTAACAACAACAACAACAACAACAGTTATTCGTCTCTCTGCCATTGCTCATGACGTTGCCTCTCAAACATTTGCTTCCTTCTAGGGCCACGGCATCCGTAGCGTTAAAACCACGAGAGGCTGAGCATGCGCCGCACACGTGGACTCACCCAGCGCCCGCAGGAGAACGAACTGCATGCCGAGGGCAAAGGGTCTCTCTTGTTCGTCGACCGACCTGGAGACAAACAAGGACAAAGATCCCCCAAACCCCACCGTATAGCCTCAGCAGACCGTTGTGGCAAGTGGTTCGCGTGCTGCGCTACAGATCCCGGCGATACAGAGTTCGATTTCCGCTCATGGCCAACACCAGTCACGATTATTTGAACCGGTCCTGGCCGGGAAATCGCATTCGACCGGCGACCTCCGGGGATAGCCCCTTGTGCTCCCAAAATGTTCTCTCAAATCTTCTCTCTGCTATGGAAAAGGGCCAAAACGCCACCTGTAATATATTCATTCGACTCTTTAGGGTATCGTTAGTGAATAGCGCGCTGCCTTTGGTTCACCCCTGCGGTATAAATTTGTACGCCACGGTTAGAGGAATAGGAGGACAAAAATACCCTCACGATGGCCCCCCTAGAGCTGCCTTTAATGGAGGCCCTTCCTGCAGCAGTGTCGCGAGCAATTGCAGGGGGCTGCGCCTTTTTACTTGTTTTGTTGTTGTTTACTTTTGTTGTTGTTGTTGTTGCCGCTGCTGCTGTGTTGGGACGAGAGCTCTGCGACGGATTGACCTGAGCGTGACGACGACGACTGCCGGTTGGGCGCCGGCCGTGACGAGGGTGACGACGAAGAGGAACGCCAAGAACGGTGCCAGGGTCCGGCATTTGCCGGGGCACCTGCCCGGCGTGGCGTAACCGGCGGGCCCGGCATCGTCGCCTTCATCGTCGCCTTCACCGCCGGTGCTCGTGCGGCCCTCCTTCGTCGGTCGCCCCCTCCTCCCGGCTCGCGCCTCTTCGGACGAGGTGCCGTCACGGCGTCCCGCCGTCACGCACAGGCAAGATGTGAAATTCAGCTCCTGTCGGGAAGGCGCCAGGTTGTGGCGAAACTTTTAGCGCGAATATAATTCGTCCCTTTTTTACTTTGTACTTTATTCCGGATAGAACATTGCATCCCTTTCAATGGGAGAAGAAGAAGAAGAAAAAAACACAATTGGTATGACGTAAGTGTGTTTTTGTGCTCGCCATAAAGTGATGTGTCCTTGCGCTATCCGTTTTTCACATTCACTCTGTCAAGCCGGCTGCCTAAATGTTCAGATTAATGGGGTCAAACATTTCACGAAGGCCAAGAACCCCACTCGGGGAATTTTTTTTTTATAAAAGGCGACAAAACGCAATGCCGAATATAAAACAGGTATTTGGATACGTAGGCTTTCGCGACCAATATTGTGATTCATAATAGGCTTCTTTACGGGGTTACTAGACCGTGTAGGTGTGATGTCAAATAGGGCTATAATCCTCCACCACACGACACCGCCAATCAAATAAAGTTGTCACGCGAGCAAAATGCGCCCATCGATTAAGTTTTTTATTATTACACGATTTTATTGAACTCACTCTGTTGTTGTCGCATCCTCAAATCTTGTAACTCAATTTTAACCATCTTCCCAATGCGGTATCGACTGCAAACTTGGTATACTTATGTCTTACTGATGACAATAACATATTCTATCATTAAAAATAAAAAATATATTTTAAACATTATTTTTTATATGTTATGTTTCGGCTTGGGTCTAATTATCCACGCTCAACTCACGTTGGCTGTAAATCACCACGGTTCCTTACGTTATGGCAAGCTTCGGGGCCACTTCCTGGAGTCGTGGAGTTCTGCCATTACGACTACGGTACATTTCATTAAAGCGTGTTTTTTTTAAAAAAAAGTATTTTTTAAATATTACTTATTTACAAAACTGGTTACGTTGAAAAGTTGACCAACAAAAAAAAATCCGACAATTTTACACAAAGTTTCGCCGCAGACGCTGCCGGGGGGCATCATCAGAGCGACTGAGCTTCCCCGACCGGGAAAAGATCGCGAGCACAAGACGAACGCCACTGCCTCGACGTCACTTTGTACCCTGACCTTCACCCCGAAGTGGGTGACCCCCGGTACGTCTGAACATTCCGCAGCGGTCGTACAAGAGGGATTTACTCTCCTTCTCCCCCCCCCACCCCTGCCCGCCCAACACGTGCACCCTGCCGACTCACCTCCGCCGAGCCGCGACTGATGTCCGCGGTGCACCCAGCCAGGCAGGGGCTGAGGTAGGTGACCCCGTCGGAGCCGCACACGGGCGAGTATTCGTGCGGCTCGCACTGGCCCCGCGCCGCGCCGCACCGCCGCCACGAGCTGCGTGTGCCGGCACCGGCGGGGTCGGCAAAGCGAGGAAGAAAAATCGGCCACACGCGTGGATTCGGTAACGATCGCAGAACGAGTTTTTTGCCCTTGCAAGCGTTTGTCATGGGTCGCTATCGGAGGCCAAAATGCGTTTGCGTATCAGCTCTGGTTTGTGCGTCACAGGTTTTGGCCAATAATTTTGGTCATCGTGGCTGGTTTTCCAGAGGGTGAGTCCTTAACCTACGCATGCATGTTAAACTTATTTCGTACCGTACGTAGCCAACCGCGCTAATCAGAGGTTGCGGGGGGGGGGTAGCACAACAAACTACACACAAATTGTAGGTGTTGAAAAATCAGTTTTCAATCTAGATTTAAAAGTACATAGCTCCAGCGGCTTCCTAATATCCGAAAGGAAGAGCGCTCAAGAAGGCCTCAGAAGCGCATCTGAAAGGGCGCAATGCCTGCCAAAAGCCACTGCGATGATGAGCGGAAATCGCAGCAACACTGACGTAATTATGACGTCGTTATCCCACTCGTCATGAGTAGAGAGACGGCTATGGTTACTGAAAGGTTGCGAACTGCTGTTTGCTCCCGCGGTCGTTTCATGGAGACTGAAATTCATAATAAAGGTTTTTTTGGGTTAGGTCGCGTTATTTATAAATGTGTCGTAACCCTCCACCACCCGACACGGCCAATTAGATTTAAAAAATGTGTCACGTTGACAAAAGACAATTAGTTCACTACTTTAGTCCACCGGTGTGTTGATGAGTGAATCCACAACATTACAAAATTTTGAGTACGACGTTTCGCTGGTAATTACGTCCAGCATCATCGGGCAATTTGCCAGACTTAAATTGTTTAACGACGACTCATTTACCGTTATACACTTCTTTATTCATCGTTAGGAGACCATTCAGAGTGTAATAATCTTAAACTACTTAATTAGATGGTGGTATCGATGGCTTTGGCCAAGACTACACCCTGGCCTGGATCTTTGTGAGAGAAGTATAGTTTCCCCCCCCCCTCCTCCTTTACGAACAGACTATGGCACCCAAAAATAATTAATACAGCAGATACTGGATATAAGCACACCTCATATAAGCAAAGTTCTAATCGAAGCAACACATGGTTGTATTACATTGGCGGGGAGGGAGGCAGAGGGCAACTTCCGATACAAGCACACGACTTCTGATATAAGCACACGACTTCTGATATGAGCACAGCTGGGCTTGCTCCCAAAGGGGCACGCTCATCCAAGCGCGGTTTCCCGGCTTAGGCCACGTGTTGAGATGCCCGAGGCACGACTGCGTGGGGCACCTTGGGCGCGTCGCACGCGGTCACGCCGTCTCGCCAGCGTCACACGGAGCGAGGTCATCATTGCCTTGACTGGCGAGGTCAATCCTTTACAACAGCGCTCCGATTAGCACGTTCGGCTGCGTGCGGTGCGAAGAAGTTCAGCATGCATGCAGCACGTACAGCAGAAGCGGCGGCGCAAACTTTGTCCATAAACCTCGCTCGCATTGGATTGTCTTCGCGAGAGTTGTCGTGCCGTTGTAAGGCAGGCGGACAGACGCATCCCAAGCACGCACGCGCGCACGCACGCGCGCGCGTACTCACTCGCTTTACGAGCGGCCGCGACAACCCCACGCTGGCTCGATGGCGCGCTCGCACACAACCACGCCGGCTCCCGCCGCAGCACCTGCTGGGGTAGCCCCGAGCGTCGACGCCTCCGGCGGTCGCGTCCTCCTCCTCGCAGGCGACGGACGACGACGACGAGGAGGAGAAGAGGAGGAGGAAGGAGAGGAGGGAGAGCGCGCTGCACGCCACGGCGAGCCGCGCCGCTCCGCGCACCCCCAGCCCCAGCCGCTTGATGGCGAAGCCGCCCAGCAGCAGCCCAGCGCCGGCGCCCGGCACGATCACCGCACCTAACGGGACGACGGCGGGGAAACCGGACGGACAACCGGGCACAGGGCAGGGTCAGGTGGTGGGAGTGGGGGCGGGGGGCTGCCCCTTCCTTGCCTCCCACCCCCCTACTAAAAGACTCAGCACCCCCACACCAACACCGTTTCCAAATTCTACCGTTACCCATGTTGGCTGTAATGCTCCACGACAATGCGTGGTGAGTTTGTGTATATTATCGCTGTTCGCGTTGAACAGGGTGCAGTAGTTTAGCGGGAGTGCTCTTGAGAATAACATCTGGTGACCCTGCAGCAATTGGTACAAAGCTCGCTTGCTTGCTGTTAGATATTAGAAAACCGATGGACTAAGATTCAATATTGTTTATATGTGCAGACACAGAATGGAAGTTTCACTTGCATCCTCAGAAATGAATGAATGAAGAGTACGTGAACGTGACACACAGAGAGAGAGAGAGAGGGAGAGAAGGGACTTGGCGCGTGCCTGTGTACACGCTGGCGCGGGAGGCCGGCACGCCAAACTGCGCCTCCAAGAACTTGGGGGTGAAGGTGACGAAGGCGGTGACAATGGCGCACTCGGCCGTGTAGGCCAGGCTGACGAGCACGAACGTGGGCCGTCGCAGGATCCTCCACGCTGCCCGGGGCAGCTCTGTGGGTTTATTTTCCCGAGCAGAGTTCATTTCGGTTAAAGAAACGAGCGATGAAAGTATTCGTCGTCGAACGTGCACAAGCACAGCGCGGTGTGGATTTAAAAAAAATGTTCTTCAATCAAAAGTCAACGATGGCCCGATATGGATGAGAATGGCCGAGCGTGACGGTTGGCTGTGACTAAAACCCATCGTTGACCGGCGCGCGGCTGGGCGGCGAGGTGCAACGAACGAGTGTGGATGAAGAGGCGGGCGGAGATAACCTCGCAGTGACGCTGTTAGGTGACGGCAGTGGACTCGGTAAGATCACACATGGTGAATGGATATATATATAGGTATATAAATAAGACTTACTAAGTTCACGGGTTGGCTGAGCTAATAATATTGGAGGGGATAAAAATGAGCACCCCTCACCCTAACATTTAATAAGCAACAAACATTTTCACTTTTTAAAGGAAATTATTCTAAGAGAACGACTTAATGAAATCCACGGACGGAGACTTTGACGACGTCAACTAATTCGTCAATAATACTGCGGTCTTAAAGGAAAAATATATAATGGCCGACGTTTCGGGCAATGGCCCTTCTTCATAGCACACGTAAATATTAAGGAGACAAATTCTCAACGTAACATTTAAATTATGGGTATAACCATTCACCAATTACATCACCAAAAAAACTCAATTGCTGCAATTCAAGACCACAATATGATGGAGTAAAGTCTATATATACATTTTTTTGTAAGTGACGGTGAATCATAGCGACTTCATGAGATGCAACACGGGAGACGTCACATGAACACAATACAGCCAACAAACACTCGGTCGATGCATGCATCGCGATCTCGGTTGTCAACATTAATGGATGATATCATCAACATTTGTCCATCACCCCCACAACTCCGATTAGCACAGTTGGCTACGATACTGTGCGAACGGAGTTCAACACACACACATGTACAACTGATGCATTGTTGTTCCAGCTCTCGTAAAACAAAAAAAATAGCAAAATCTTACAAAATGTGTGTTCTTTTCTCTACTACGTTGCAATAATTGCAATGTGTGGATGAAGCAGCAAGCCTAGCGTCTACCAAGGCATGACGAGGCAACGGTGATGCGGCTATCGAGTGTGCAGGCGGTGCAACTGCACCGGGCCCTCATGCCGGATGGGTCCAGACACCGGGCTATAATGAAGGAGGAGCAGGTAAACATGGCATGTTGCGCCAACGTCGGGCCAACGTTGGTCCAACTGTTCCAACCGCATGCCAACGTTGGCCCAACGTTCCACGTTTACCGGGGAGAAATTGTACTTGGGGGGGTGTGGTCCCGTTTCATTCCTTACGCCGGGGGCCCCATGCAGACCACATCGTGGCAACCACATCGTGGCAGACCACATCATGGCAACCAGATCGTAGCAACCATAATTGTAGCAACCATAATTGTAACAACCACATCGTGGCAACCGCATCATGGCAAACACATCGTGGCAACCACATCGTTCGGCAAGCATCCCGTCTACCTCTGATATCCCTGCCGAAGGTGATGGCCGTTGTAACGGGGACGCTTTTGTTCCCCCTCGACTGAAGCGAGGCTTCTTCTTCTTCTTCGACCACTGCAGCCGCAGAAGCAGCAGCAGCAGAAGCAGCAGCAGCAGCGTCCTTCTGCTCCGTGACGGCGGCGGTCACGGGGACGGACGGCTTCCGTCGTCCTCGCATCTTCTTGGGGAAGGTGAAGAGAGGCAACGCCACCCCGAGGAGAGCCACGGCGCACAGGACGAAGCCGCCCCACCTGCATGCGGCGGAGAGACGGTGGAGGTTGGGCTCCGAGCCCCGGGCGGACGCCCCGGTCAGCACCGCGGGTGTGTTCCCTTGGAAGCAAATAATGGAGCGCCGTCTGCTTCAGGGTGGACGTTAAAGACAGCACGGTGTCGTGAGAAAAAAAAAACAAGGGGGGAGGCCACGTGTGCCAGCTTCACGGTCCAATTGTCAAAAGTTGCTCCCAAATTACAGAATTGGTTGAATCCGGAAAACAACATCACCCCCCACCCCCGATAATTGTGAAACTATCGCAGACATCGCTCACCTGCGAGAGCCTTGCGCTGCAAGAACTGCGTGGCTGATTAAACACGATCACTATGCGCGGGTGTCCTTACGCCCATCAATCCCTACTCCGAGCACAGCCTGGTGACAATCCGGAAAACAACGAGCGGTGGAAAAAAACCCGAAGCACCCGGGTCCGGGCTTGGGGCACCACCGTCGCCCACCAGTTGCCGATGAACGTCGGGTCCCCCGGCGGCACAGGAGACGACTCCCCCGGGTGCGTGTACGTCCCGAGGAGCAGCCCTCCCAGCAGGTAGCCGGCGGCTGGACCCAGCGCGCCCGCCACGTACAGGGTGGCTACGGACAAAGACAAAGTAAACCCCCCCGTCCCCCCCCGGTGTAGCCTTAACGGGGTGTCGGGGCGAGTGGCACCTACGAAAGCCGGCACGGCACATGAGAGGGGTGTGTGGCCAGCATCACGCCCGTGATGCTGGCCACACACGGGCGAGTGCGCCATCGTCACCGCCTTCGTCACCTTCACCCCCAAGTTCTTGGAGGCGCAGTTTGGCGTGCCGGCCTCCCGCGCCAGCGTGTACACAGGCACGCGCCAAGTCCCTTCTCTCCCTCTCTCTCTCTCTGTGTGTCACGTTCACGTACTCGTGGCGATGATTACTACACACCACACCGGGTAGTCATTTAAGGCTGAGTCGACTTAAGGACCGGTTCAGATAATCGTCACCGGTGTTGGTCGTGAACGGGTATCGAGCCCGGAGTCGCCGGGTTCACAATGCGACGCGCTACACAAACATGCACACACACGTACGGATGAGCTGATGACTCTCTTGATTTCAGTATTCTCCGCTGTTCATGAGTGAGGCTGCAGCGTTGTCACGGTGAGATTTTGTAAAATTCACGGCCAAATTGAGCAGGTTGAAAAAAGCAAAGACAACGATTCGTGCCTGCTTCAGTGCCGGCACTGCCCCGCGTGTCAGTCGCTGCCAGTATAGATGTGACGTACGGGATTTTTTTAAGGAAATAAAATAGTAACCATGTTTAATCATGCCAGCAGCAATTTCCAACATTTAACGTTGGACTTCATTCAAATTCACAATTTCCGTGGCCGCCGTAACTACCCTGACCACCGTACCAAATGGAGGCCTCATGAATGACTGTCCCCCTCTATAAAGTCCCTTCTCGTATTCACATTGGAAACTCATTTATTTAAAACCGCTTCTTGTGTTTCGTTTGTTGTCCCCACACCTTCGATTAGCGCGGTTTGCTACGTGCGGTGCGAAAGAAGTTCAACAAATGGTACATTAATCCTGACTCATGAAATGTCCTCTTCTCATCTCCAAATGACGATTTTTCTCTCTCTCCGTCTCGATCAAGTGCCCCCATTCAGACTTCTATCATTGCGTCATCTCCACTCTCCCTGCCATGCAAGTATTCTACCGCTCATTTTGTATTCTTTGGGTCTTCCCGTAAAGTCACGTAGATAGGGTGAAAGAAAATAACAAAAAAACTACGACGTTTCGATCGCAACACAAGCGATCGTCATCAGGAGGAAATAAAACCCCATTTAAATGCCAAACACACCCAACCCACGTATTTTTCAAACTCCCACAATGGACACATGCCCTGCCTCCCTCTTTGTACAGCGCCTTGAGATGCTGCCACATGCAGACACTTTATACATCCAAATTATACAGTATTGTCATAGTATTGTTATCATCTCTCCCCTGTAACCTCATGCCCCTGACCTTTCTCCCTTTGATAATAACCTTTAAAAACACCATTTTCCATCCTCTATCCCAAGGTTACCTGTGCATTTTGCTCCCAATGTATACAACATATTGGGAGGAAGTCAAAATAAATATTCTTTATCAACCCACATCGCATTGTGCAGAGGTGATGCGAGGAAGGTTGAATGCCGAGTACGGTGTACTGCACGTGGCAACTGTGTACGTGTACTCGCTGACCCTACTGCCACCGAGTTTACAATGACCTATTTCACAAGAGTAGAAGATACTCAGGTAAATAAGACGCACACTAAACGTGTGCCCGTGTCAATGAAGTTAGACAAAGCTGGTCTTACGCACACCTAATGGCTTACAAGACGCACCCTCAACTGTTGCTTTAAAATAGAGGTGGTGGTGGAGGGGGCGCGTCTTATAATCCGGAAATTGCAGTAGTGCAGTATTTCTGCCTTTAAATGCCAGGTTCACTTATTTCGTGTCCATCAAAGCAACTTCATATCAACGACGAGCATGCGCGCTTTAGTGTTGTCACGCCGAGGTAGACGGGCGTTGAGCAGTGGGCCAGTTTTAGGCCATTCCATTTGATGGAGGCTTCCCGCCCCGTGCCACTCATTCTTCGGTCTTCCTCTGAGTGAGTTGGTGGGTTTGTTAAAGTTACCGTCAAGGATATTTCGATACAAAAAGTGAAAGTCTTTGCCATGGGTGGGCTGCCACACAGAGATCGCCTCATCATCGGTGTTGCTGTTAAAGAGTGATGGTGCACGCACTCTGCTTTGTGTAAGAACAATTCCTGTTGGTACCAACGACTTCACTTTCCATTTCAGTCCCACCGAAGAATCGTGAGTTCTCAAGTAGAGCACGGACGGGAAGCCGCAGTGGCGAGATGTTAACTCCCTCTCCCGGTATGCAGGAGGTCGTGGGTTCAATCCCGACCCTGATGCCTGCTGTATATTTGCAGTTGGCATGTTCTCCCCGCTTCAGGTCCTCCGGTTTTTCGCTCCACATTTAGAAACATGCCTTTAGAGTATTTGGATGCTATGAATTTCTACGTGATAAGCTACTTCGTTGAGCTATCATTTGCGGCCAGGTCGCTTAAAAAAAAGAGCTAAACATATAGGTCAGTGGGCTACCTGGTAAAATAAAAAAGTTTCGAGTTCGGTGAGGCTTTGAGTCACCCCTAGCGACTTTGGGAAGTAGCCGCTAATGAATGACGCCGTTGGCTGGTCCATAATTTTACCTGGGTTGAAATCCCAGTTGCTCCTGGATATCAGCCTCTCATTAACGTGTGATAACAAGACGGTTATCAATTAGCCTTTCCTACAAAAAATAGCGTGCCTGTTAATCCAGGGAAACACGTTTTGAGGAACGAACTGGATACATGCATTCCACTTGTTTTGGAATGTATTTCAAGTCGTGTTCATGTTTTTGTTTGTTGCAGTAGCACCCGAGTCAAGAGCCGCATGGCTCACAGGGCTCTACCTAATAAATGAACAATGAAATGTGTTGGGTCAGGGTTGTTGTTTGACCATACTTCACCACCGATGGCCAGTGGTGAAAGTGGTGGGAAACAATGATCATGAGCTCTGGATTATTAAACGCTCTTAAGAGAATGATGCCTGGTGTCAATAAAGTTACACACACACGCATCTTCTGGTTTAAAAGAAACACCACTTGCATAGTTTGCTCTAAATACAGGGTCGGCCAAAAGTCAGGACACGTAGGGTTATTTTAACACTGCCATTATTTTTTTTATTATTTGTTCTTAAAGTGAATATTCTATTAATAGGTATGTTTTTTCCTTTTCAAATGCAATTTAAAAAGTGAAAAGAAAATCGACTAAAGACGAACGAGTTCAATTCGTGCTAATGTATGCTAAAGAAGGCAGCTGTAATCTTTAAAACATTTTTTTATAAATTCATTTAAAAACAGAATGCAGGCATTAATTCATGCCAATGGAAGTCAGTTTTAACATTTGTGAAAATAAATATAATAACCCTTATTCTTGGTTCTTTCGGTAAAGTCACGTAGAGGGGAAACAATAAAAAAATATAAAACAATAAAAGTCTCACGACGTTTCGACTGCAACACAAGCAATCATCATCAGGTGTGATACCTCATGATAATTGCTTGTGTTGCAGTCGAAACGTCGTGAGAATTTAATTGTTTTATTTTTTTATTGTTTGCCTTCTACGTGACTTTACCGAAAGAACCAAGAATATTAATCCCTGCAGTCACGAAAGCTTTAAATCAAAATATAATAACCCTTGTGTGCCCTGACTTTTGAGCAAACCCTGTATAATACAGAAGGGTAAAAGGCACGAATAACAGAGGGCGCACGATCACACCACAGCAGCCATGCGCTTCAACAATGTGATCCTGCCCCCTGTCGGTGGCGTGCAAGAACGCCACTTTGTGTTTGCACCGCCAATCCACATTGATACATCGATATACCAATACCTACATTGATACATCAATATACCAATACAATACATTGATTGATACACCGATATACCAATACCCACATTGATACATCGATATACCAATACCTAAATTGATACATCGATATACAATGCATTGATTGATACACCGATATACCAATACCCACATTGATACATCGATATACCAATACCAAAATTGATACATCGATATACGAATACAATACATTGATTGATACACCGATATACCAATACCCACATTCATACATTGATATACCAATACCCACATTTATACATCGATATACCATATCCACACTTATACACCGATATACCAATACCCACATTGATATATCGATATACCAATACCCACATTTATACATCTATATACCAATACCTACATTGATACATCGATATACCAATACCTAAATTGATACATCGATATACGAATACAATACATTGATTGATACACCGATATACCAATACCCACATTGATATATCGATATACCAATACCCACATTTATACATCGATATACCAATACCTACATTGATACATCGATATACCAATACCTAAATTGCTACATCGATATACCAATACCCACATTTATACATCGATATACCAATACCTACATTGATACATCGATATACCAATACCTAAATTGATACATCGATATACCAATACCTAAATTGATACATCGATATACCAATACCCACATTTATACATCGATATACCAATACCCACATTTACCCACCGATATACCAATACCTACATTGATACATCGATATACCAATACCCACATTTATACATCGATATACCAATACCTACATTGATACATCGATATACCAATACCTAAATTGATACATCGATATACCAATACCCACATTTATACATCGATATACCAATACCTACATTGATACATCGATATACCAATACCTAAATTGATACATCGATATACCAAGACAACCGCCATTCGCCACGAAGTGACGGTGACGTCACCACGGCGCCTGTGCCAGGCTAGGTGCACTCAGAGGCCACGTGAAGTGTCGACAGCTGGCTGACAGGAGGAGGTCACGGGACAGACCCAGCAGGTGCCATGGGTTTGACTGAAATGACCGGCAGATGCACCAGCAGCGCCCCCTGCTTTGCGAACCTGCCTGCTCCATTTTATCCGCCCGGCCCTCCGCTCGTTGTTGTGAGCGTCGCTCCTATTGCCCTCCGTTGTTGTTGGAGGGAGACTGCCTCCAACTGACAACGAGCAGCGTCCTTCACGAGCCTCCTTCATAGAGGCCGATTTTAACACTGCTGGTACCAGTCTTGGGCAAGTTCAATGATACATAAACATGTCCTTACACACCCCCTAACGTTAATTACATGCTGGCTTAAAAATGCAGCTATTGACCAAACCCTAGGTACTTTTTACACATGTGGCGTCCCCGTGATTAATTTAACAGCACGAGCTGTTTGTGGAAACCTTAAAAAGCGAGAGTTTAAAATAAAATGTTTGCGTAGTCGGCAGGATTCGAACCTGCGCGGGGAGACCCCAATGGATTTCTAGTCCATCGCCTTAACCGCTCGGCCACGACTACCGGCGAAGGAAGCGGGTACGGGAACGCCATTTAGTCATCGCCATCCCATGCCGTGCTCAATCCACTGTTGGATGAATACTTTGTTTGTTTTCTTATTCTAAACTTAACGCGTGTGTCCGTGGGCACACAAGATCGATTTCTTGGGGATATCCCAAAATATGGTGATTACTGTACGTGGCTCATCAAACCTCACCAATCGCCCCTTAAAACACCAGCCACTAAACAATTCACGTAACCTCACCAATTCACACAGCAACTCAGCCAAACTCACCAGCTCATGTAGCCTCCTCACCCATTCACTCAGCCAAACTCACCATCTCATGTAGAGTCCTCACCCATTCACGCAGCAACTCAGCCAAACTCACCATCTCATGTAGCCTCCTCACCCATTCACTCAGCAACTCAGCCAAACTCACCATCTCATGTAGAGTCCTCACCCATTCACACAGCAACTCAGCCAAACTCACCAGCTCATGTAGCCTCCTCACCCATTCACGCAGCAACTCAGCCAAACTCACCATCTCATGTAGCGTCCTCACCAATTCACACAGCAACTCAGCCAAACTCACCATCTCATGTAGCGTACTCACCCATTTACTCAGCAATCAGCCAAACTCACCATCTCATGTAGCGTCCTCACCCATTCACACAGCAACTCAGCCAAACTCACCATCTCATGTAGCGTACTCACCCATTTACTCAGCAATCAGCCAAACTCACCAGCTCATGTAGCCTCCTCACCCATTCACACAGCAACTTAGCCAAACTCACCATCTCATGTAGCGTCCTCACCCATTCACTCAGCAACTCAGCCAAACTCACCAGCTCATGTAGCCTCCTCACCAATTCACTCAGCAACTCAGCCAAACTCACCATCTCATGTAGCCTCCTTACCCATTCACTCAGCAACTCAGCCAAACTCACCAGCTCATCAAACCTCACCAAGCGCCCCTTCAAACACCATGTAGCCTCCTCACCCACCAATTCACGTAACCTCACCCATTCACGCACCAACTCAGCCAAACTCACCAGCTGACACAAGTCGTACCCATCAGCCGACAATAAACTCACCTGCTCATCATATTTCATATCCGACTCCGCAGCCATCACCACTCATCACCAACTCACAGCCAAACACCGTGACAATATTTAAAACTATTTCTTTCATTTAACCAGGCAAGGCCCACTGAGCTGTGTAACTATTTTTCAGAAGTGACCTGGACATCACAAATGACAGCTCAACCAAGTGGCTGATCACGTGGACATTTACAGCAGGGGATAATGTCAAAAAGTCCAAGCTCCGACCACCTGTTTGTCAGAAAGTGCACGCTGTGTCAAGAAGTGCACGCAAGCGCGTGCATTTCTTGACATTATCCCCGCACTTGATCGTTCGACGAGTCGGACTTGTACGCGTGTGTGGTGCATGTGGTGTGTGTGGTGCATGTGTGTGTGGTGCATGTGTGTGTGGTGCATGTGGTGTGTGTGGTGCATGTGTGTGTGATGCATGTGTGTGTGTGGTGCGTGTGTGGTGCATGTGTGTGTGTGTGGTGCATGTGTGTGTGGTGCGTGTGTGTGTGGTGTGTGTGTGTGGTGCGTGTGTGTGGTGCGTGTGTGTGGTGCGTGTGTGTGGTGCGTGTGTGTGTGGTGCATGTGTGTGTGTGGTGCATGTGTGTGTGTGTCTGGGTTGTAGTAGACAGGGCGTGGGAGATGTTTTCCCAAGAAAGCCGTGAAAACACACACACGCACCACACACACACGCACCACACACGCGCATATGCACCACACACACGCACCACACACATGCACCACACACACGCACAACACACACGCACAACACACACATGCACCACACATACACCACACACACACACCATACACACATGCACCACACACACACATGCACCACACACACGCACCACACACACACGCACGACACACACACACCACACATGCACCACACACGCACAACACACACACGTACCACACACAAACATGCACCACACACACAAGCACCACACATGCACCACACACACACATGCACCACACACACACAAGCACCACACACACACAAGCACCACACACACGTACAAGTCCGACTCGTCGAACGATCAAGTGCGGGGATAATGTCAAGAAATGCACGCGCTTGCGTGCACTTCTTGACACAGCGTGCACTTCTTGACACAGCGTGCACTTCTTGACACAGCGTGCACTTTCTGACAAACAGGTGGTCGGAGCGTGCACTTCTTGACATTATCCCTTTATAGCAGCCAACACCTCAAAACGCGCGTTTCTAAAGGTGGAGGGAAACATCGGAGGAGCCGGAGAAAAATCCACACGACCACGGGGAGAGCGAGACATGCAAACTCCAAATGTACAACAGGCGTCACCGTGGGAATCGAACCCACGATCCCCTGTACACCAGGCGAGGTAATTAACATTTCGCCACCGTGACACCACGGGACACTCACCCAGGTACAAGGCCGAGCTGCTGGGCTCCACGTTGTCGTCCAGGTATGTGGCGCCCAGCGTGTAGATCGGCGTGGAGCCAATGCCGACCAACAGCTGTGCCACCACGAACAGGGCCAGAGGCAGTCCCCTCTGCTGGCTGCCTCCTTCTTCCTTGGCCCCTGCCTCATCCTGCTCGCAGTCGGGCTCTGACCCCTCATCTAGCCCGGGCATTGGAGCTTGCTCCATCTCGCCCCCTGGTCCCTCACCCAACACGGCCTCTGGTCGGTCATTCAAACTGGCCCCGGGCCATTGTTCAAGGCCTGCTTGTGGTGTCTCGCCCAGCCTGGCTTCTGGCTTACCATCCAGCGCAGCATTTGGTTTCTCGCCCAGTCCAGCCTTTGGCCGCCCATCCAGCCATGAGCTCTCGCCCAGCAAGGTCTGTGGTCCTTCATCCAGCGTGAGCTGTGGTCTTTGCTCCTGCCTGGTCCATGACCTCCGATCCAGCCCAACTCCAGTTCCTTCAGCCACCTTGAGCTCTGGCCAATGTGCCAGCACGGTCCTAGATCTCCCATCAAGATCGGGCCCTGAACCTCGGTCCAGCAAGGCGCTTGGCCCATTACTCAACCTTGAATGTGGCCTCTGGTCCCGCACAATCCACGATCTCTGACCCAGCCCAACTTCTGGTCTCTCACCGAGCCCAGGCCTGGGCCCTTGGTCCTCGAGCTCCAAGCCTCCCGTCTCGGCCAGCCTGAACGCGCACAACCGCTGTCGGCCAGACTCGGCCGGCCTAAGCAGCCCCGCGGTGGGGGTAGAGGCGCGTGGCCGCCCGGCCCCGTGGTGGCGCGGAGTCACGAAGTGCGGCAGGGCGAACACCAGGGCCCCCAGGGCCACCAGCAGCCCGCCGGCGCCGAGCCAACGCGGCCTCCTGCCTCTGCCGCCACGGTAGCTCACAAAGACCACCACGGCGAGGCTGCCCAGGTCGAAGCAGCTGACGAGGAGGCCGGACTCGGAGCTGCGCAGGCTGAAGCGCCTCTCCACCGTGGTGAGGACGCTGCTCAGGTAGCCGCTCACCATGAGCGCCTGGGTGAAGGTTAGGCAGCCGAGCCAGAAGAGGAAGCGGAGGGGCTCTGACGGGGAACACCGCCTGCACGGAGCGCAAAGCGACCCAGCGAGGCTCTCCTTCGTGAACCCGCATTCAGAGATGTCCACCACCTCCTGTTGCTGCTGCTGCTGTTGTGGAGTCCAACCGGTGAACTCGGAGTGTGTGGCTTCAATTGAGTTCACAGATCCTCCAGAGGTCTCCCTGATGTCCCCCAAGTCACCCATTCAAAACGCGGCTCTCTCGTGAGGATCTAAATCCCACCGCCACAGGCTGGTTTTTATTCCGCTGTTATTGCAGTATAAGGATTAAAGTTAATTTTACGTAATGCAGTCCAAAAATACTGAATTCAATAATAATAAAGTACAACGGTTGGTCAGTCCACTACTGGATGAAGGCCTACACACGCCGTGTGGGTCACGGAACTTGGTTGACCATACTTCACCACGCTGGTCAATGCGAGTTGGGGAAGTAGCCGGTGAGCCCAAGACCGGTTCAGATATCGCTTACGACTGATGCCAGCCTTGACCGGTAATCAAACTCAGGGCGCTGGGTTCAGAGCACACTGCATCACCGCGGTCGCCAACGCTTCACCTTACTGGCGGTGGCCTACTGTAAAATTATATAATAATACAAAATAACTTTAGCGAGAATTGACACCAAATATATCCCGACGGCAGTTGACTACTAAGACACCCATTTTTATTAAAGTGTCCTTTGCCACTCACTTAACCAATAAACAAGATAGATAATTGGTACAATGTGGTTTTCCGCTTGCAAAACTCAACTTGTATCTCCCAGAGCGGGTGAAATATTGAAAACCACGCGACCGCAGAGCGAGTCAAAGTAAATAAAAGGACTTGCATTCGCGTTCTCGCCAAGCACGCGGTCACGCCAATGCATGTTTAAATGCCCTTAATCGTCCCGCAGCAGCCACTTTGAGTGACGCGTAAACAACCCAATTATCCGACTCCAACCAGCTACACATTATACACTCTACTGAGACACTTTACTCTCAGAGAACGCAGTTCTCTTCCCACGCGCTTTGTTGCATCGGCTCGACTCGTGTCACGAATAATTATTTGACGCGACACGAAACAAGCAACCTACGCGTTTGCGGTGGACGGAAATTAATTTGACGCCTTAACGTCAACATTTGAGAGGCGGCTTAAACAAGCAGTGGATCCACCGTGGCTGATGATGACGTCAACAAATCCTTTGCACGTGATAATGTAGTTGTAAGGCGCATTTCATCGGTAAGTCCCAATGCGCCACCGTGTATTGAAAGCAGGACATGAACAGAACCTGCTGGGTGAGCAGCCAGGAGCTCGGCGGCAGAGGCCAGATTTAAGAGCCGAGTTTTCAAGACGGACTTAAACATATCTAACGATTCTGCAGTGGAACAAAGTCTTGACCTCGGAGTCGTTAAAATAAGATCTCAGAGACCTCGTTGGAGTATAACCATGGATCAGCTCCTATAAATATTGCAGGGGATAACGCACCGAGTGCGTTATAGATAGCGTCGACGCAATGAAAAGGCAGCGGCGAAGGTTGGTGGATCATTGCGCAGACGGTGTGAAGCTCCCTTCCCGCGGGCGTCCAGGGGATTGCCGTACCCCGACTCGCCAGGAGACTGCGGTTTCAGCAAAGTACAGACTGATCATCTGTCCCTTCCGTGTGGGATAGAGTGTTTCCCCCTCGCACAGTGGAGTTTCTCCGGGAGCTCCGGTTTCCTCCCAGGTGTATAAACACTCACCAATTACAAACGCTCACCAATATTATTAATCGGCTGGAAACATCTTAATATATAGACAACCGCAAAGCTTTGACAATTGGCGCAGGCTCACCACTTGGCTGCCTTCCAGGTTGCCTGCGGTTCCTGAACGATTATGATGTCATTTGCATGAATGACGCCATAAAAATAACTTAACATTACATTGGCGACGTTTCAGGCAATGACCCTTCATAACACACACATCACGAAGAGAGGGCCATTGCCCAAAACGTCCCCTATTATATATTTTTGCATTTCAAGGCCACAGTGCTATGGACGAACGTGCCGAGTCGTTTGTTATTTGTGCTCATGCACCACTGCCAACGCAGCAGCACCAAGTGATGTGTGATAGCCGTTAGTCAATCCACTGCTGGATGAAGGCCTCTCCACGCCATACTTCATCATCGCGCTGGTCAGCGTTTGGTTTAGCTGAAGGGTTGAATGTTAAGTGAAATTTGAACCGGCTTGCCTAGGCAATGGTACATATCCCGGGTGTTGTTTCTTCTCTCTTCTTCAGAACGCCTAATTTACTAATGTAGCAATTAAACACCAATTTCATTTGTTGATGCCACTGCTTGAATCAATGCCAGCCTGAGAGCGCGCCTGGCCGGGCTGTGGCGAGGTGGTACCCTTCATGGCTGGCCGGTGCAGGTGTCATCTTTAATTGGCTTAATTGATTAAAGGGTACACATTACCGCGGGGTTGAGCCATTAGCCACGGGCCAAGCTGATGGAAGGACAGCCACGTGTCTCTGCACGCGGCTTACTCCCGCCTCCACGGCAATTGGCGAAGCGAGTCAGCCCACACTCGTTCAGTAACACGCCGAGTTAAGTGTGCGCAATTGCGAAAACAATAAAGCAATTATCGGCGAGTTTAACTCTCCCGGGATGATCGTCACGGTGCAATGGCAGCATTCTCACGCATGGACTTTGACCCGCCCATCCTGGACAATGTGGAAAAGAGCTTCCGAGCTCAACGGATTCCTCCAGTCTGAATTACGATTCTGATGAGAGGCGTCGCCGGTCCTGTTCAACCTCCCGGCGTGGCAGTTGAAACAAAAGGCAACGCTTTATTTAATTACGAATGTACTTTTATTACTCCCTCAGCCGTCTCAGCGGTGTAACCTGTGCACCCACGGTTCGATCGACCGGGCAAGTCGCGTGTGGTGGGTTAAAGTGTGGGTATACTCCGTCAGCGATAGAGTAAGAGAAGGCAAAATTCCCTCCAGGTGGGTCTTTTATGAGCTGCCCTCAAGTGAAAGCCTTTCCGTCAGCAGGAACGCGAGTCATTTAAGGGCTGCACCTTTGTATCTGTAACTCACCTGCTACCTAGGCACGGGTTTGATTTTACTTGGCGAGTCCACAGGCTGAAAGTTACCGTGAAAGGGGAGTATTGTCCGTCTCGTATGTATATATGTATGTTGAACTTCTTTCTCGCCGTACGTAGCCAGCCGAGCTATTCGGAAGGTGCCGGGGAAAGACAACAAACGTAACGCAAAACGAAGTTCGAAAGAAATGAGTTGATTTCGAGTCTGCAACACTCCCGACCAGGGATGCGGGGGGGGGGGGAGGTGCTCAGGGCCCACGGTTGGAACGTGACCATCAGCCAACAAGATCAATCCACTGCTGGACGATGAAAGGCCTTCCCCACGCCGTCGCCGCACGGCACGCGATTTCTGCGATGTCGACACATCACCCGGCACCCGCGAGCGAGTCGATCGAATCGCTCCATCCCTCTCGACGGCCGTTGCTCTTTGACCGCGTTCAATTCCTCGGTTGACATTCCGTCTCTATTCTTTCCCATCGGGGGGCCAATGCATCACCCTTTTAGCGTGCGTCCTGCCAAGGTCTTCACGAGTCGTCGTCTTTATAATCTGCGTCTGGTTCACAGTTCGCGTGTTCCACCGCCCGTCTCTCAGCGTAATTTAAATGCCTGCATTCCTCCACGCGTATTTTCACACTCCTCTTTTGTTATGTGCTGCGTGTTAATGTCCGTCTATCTGATCCATACGTCAGAGCAGGTATTATAGACCATGGACAAACGCCACTGGGCATCTGTGAAAAATAGCTTTATAGCTCATCCGATTAATCCAGTATAAACGCATTTTCTGACTCTTATCTTTATCCTTTTTTTTAAAGTAATCCGTTTTTCAAACATAACTTGCTCTCGTCCACCTCTTTATTTCTTTTTTGTTGATTCCGATTCTACAAGGATACAGCGTACAATCGAATGTATAGCATAGGATAGGGCAGATAGCATGAATCCTTACTTCATTTGTGCTGCTTCCGATTCCTATTCTACAAGGATACAGCGCACAATCGAATGTATAGCATAGGATAGGGCAGATAGCATGAATCCCCTAACAAAACATACTCCCCCTGAAAGCACCAGCTGCTGTCCAGTTTACTTGTATGCTGCTCTAATTGTACTCGACGGAATGAGCCTCATTAGACGGTGGTGCTTATCCGTTTCCTTTGCGAAGAGTGTCTGTCTAAATGGCTTTTGGCAATCGTTATTTTTTGTTTGTTACAAAACGACGTAACTAATGAGCCAATGGGCTTCTCTCGGCAGCATGCCTTACGGACCAAAACACAGGAATCATTCTGACGCCGCGTGCACTGCGCACAATCCCAAACGCCGTGTCTGGGGTGGGCGAGTGTAAATGTTTGGGGTGGCGCTTTGAAACAAATGAAAATTAAACAAATTTTGTAAAGGTGCTAACGGTTGCCGAACGAATACATTTATAAAATAGCAGTCATTCCACCCAAAGTGCTTGCCACAAATGAACCACAAATGCCTCGCTGATCTCGTCAAGGCGCATAAAGCATCATCACGCGAACACCGCTCATCCCTCGCAGCGACGGCTTTGGCTGTCGAACAAAGACGTCCACTGCATCGCGTGCTTTCAGATGTGCTTTCGTGGCCGTGTGGAACGTTATTTTGATATAAGGAAGCCACTGGAGCTATTTGCACTTTTAAATCTAGATTGAAAATGAATTTCTTTAGAACTGCTTTTTGTGTTTAATTTGTCCTTCCCCCACACCCCCGATTAGCACGGTTGGCTACAAACGGTACGAAAGAATTTTGATTGAAAGCTCTCGTGACTGCAGGGATTCATATTCTTGGTTCTTTCGGTAAAGTCACGTGACTTTACCGAAAGAACCAGGGTACGAAAGAAGTTCAACATACAGACGTGGCTCTTGAATTCTTGTTATACCTAGTCGCTCGTGTAATATGACGGTGTCTGTGGTCGCGTAACGTAATGGACGAAGTGAAAAGGGAGGCCGAGCAGTGCCAGAGGTGGAGCCAGAGTTGGGAGTCGGATGTAGAGTTCGTGTTGGGGGCGAGTTTTCGAGCTTGCTAGTATGAGGGGTAGGAGATTCAGTTTGGTTGGCTAGGTGTGTTTTGCATCATCACCGTTTGTCCCCTCCCTCCCATTTCCAAGTATAAAAAAACCATTCGTCAATAACATTTCCCGGAAAAGAATAACAGGTAACGTTTTGGGTAATGGATCTTATTCTTCACAGCACAGCGAGGCCACGTGGAGGCCATTTCCAAGGATGGCATCTTCACTTTTTGTTCGCCATCTCACTTTTGGCGGCTCATTCGATTATTCTTCGCTCTGCGAAAATACGTTTTGATATGAACAGACTCGAGGCAATTTTACCAGTTGGTTAGCTTTATTAACAACAATTAACCCATATTCAGTGAAACACATTAATTAAATGAAAGATTTTGCATTGAGAGAGCATTAGAGCCTTGTAAAGCTTTTAGTACAGGCTAGAAAAAAAGGGAAAAACACAAATCGCAGAAGCAGCGAGTCAAACCAAAGTGTCACTCGTCATGCTGACAATGAAGACGCAACCTGGCAATCACCCGACTGCATCTGCAGACTGCCACGAATTTAACCCAATTTGGCAAGCGAAGCATTGCTTTGGTGTGCACGCTTCCCTTGACCCAATCGCCGTCTCTTCAAAACAAAACGCGCCAATAAGAATCAAAGCAACGGTGAACGCACATCGCACACACGTTTTTAGACAACGGAGCCAAAGTCCGGGGGCTTTTCATTTTCCTCTTATATTAGGGTCTGCACAACACGAGCACAAACATAGAACAATGTATGCGCCTCCACTACGCAAAATAAGGTAATTTTAACGAAAGGTCGTTAGGGGCAATATATTTTTTTACAATTGGACTCTCAGAAACGCATGTTCTGATGCTCAGATGGGCATGTGTTTCAAGGCCTGATGGTGGAAACATTATCTTGGTAAAAATGCCAAATTTACCTGTGCACGATGAAGACCAACAAGTAACCCGGTATTATTTCTGGCCTGAATAGGTGACCATCGACCGATGTTTAAAAACGCCAGAGTTGAACTACACCGCCATTTCAATTACGCAGTTTAAATACACTACTGATCAAAACACGTCCGCGTCCTAAAGTTTAGGATATCACACACGACGAGACGTCACGATTAATAGGCTAAAATGAAATTCAGGCAGCGCCGGGTCTGTTGCCTGCATATCTGCGGCTGTGCCACACGGGAGCCGTTTTGGAACATTTCCCCGCCCCGCTCATCCCCCCCCCTACCCAACGCTCATTTATCCTTAAGGCCACATTCAACACGGCTTGGTCGCACTGCAGGGGATTTTGCGCACCAATTCAGACCCTTCACTGCCAACTACCGCCGCGCTTCCTCCTCCACCACCACCACCACCACCACCACACCTTGTGCTTCATGATTTTAGCGAAACGAAACGACTACGGGAGCAAAAGGCCCAGAACACGAATGCAATACCCGTGAGTTCAATGCGCCTGGTTACAAGAAGACATGAGGTGTTTTTCTTCTGCCGTCTACTCAAAACCACTGCGGGACACACAGCTCAGACCCGCTAGATGGGGTGGAGGGGGGCTCACAGATTAAGACTGTAAATACTGGCCATATCATTTAAACGCTCATAAGTTATATAGTTTTATATAAGTGTGTATGCACGCGTACATACACTTGCAAGACAAACGCATTTTAAAGCAAAGTGAATACTGTAATATACTGAAAGAGGACACCTGGAATACACGAAATTGAACATGGAATAATTACAGGTTATTTGAACATATTTAGAATAGACTTATTTAAATTTTGTGAAACGAAGCAAACAGCTAAAATGCGGCTGCAAAATAATTACTTGAACACCAATTCATTAATCAGCAGCCCTGCGGGGGAGGGGGGATTACACTTTGCAAACGGTACACCCTCTGTCCATTTGTACACAGCACGAGTTCATAAAACATGGTAACTAAAAGCACACACACATGGCTGTTTCAGAGCAAAGTGCATAAAAGAAAAAAACAGAAAAATGCACTGACTAGGACCCCGGTGGCAAACCAACCAAAAGTAATGAACATATGGGTTATATTGTACATCATAAATAATCAACAAATGTCTTTTTTTCTTTACATATTTACAAAAATGTTGGACAAAAATAGGAAATAACACTCTGCATTGGCTTTTGATTCCATTCCCTAAATGGGTTATTTTAAAATGTTTTTTTTTCTTTATACAATTTGGGTGGCGTTTTTATTTTGTGTGGGATAAAAGTGGCTTTACAAAAGTAACAAACAACTGCCGCCGTCCCCCCCCTTCCCACCACCCCCCCCATGTGCCATCACACACGGCAGCCCCTTCACACCCGGAGCCCATGTACATTTGTATATCGTCGGAACGCTTAAGTCCCGAGACCCAACGCAAACGTCACCTGGTACCAGTGTAAAGTCTGTATTGTTGGCAATGAGCTAACAAGGTATATATTGCTTTAAAGGATACTTCTTTAAGAACGTTTGCAGTTTTTTTTTTTCTAAAACGGAAGTCGGTAACTCCCTCCCCTCCTCCTCCTCCTCCGTGTTGTTAAAAAAACACAAACCAATCTATTTATTATTTAGAATGCACTTTACCAAACCAAAGTACCTGCTGCTTATACTATGCCTTGACAAAGCCGACTAAGCCAATCACTTATCGCTCTCTTTAATCATCACCATTCCAAACATTTGAAGAAATCGAACACACGTTTCACTTGTTTCTTTAAGCAAAACATTTTTTTTTTTAAACCGTTTTCTAAAAACCTTCCTGACAAGATGAAAAACACACCGTCTGGAGCTTGTGCGCGTGCGCGCACGCCATCCTCGGGAGCTTTCGTGTCTGCCAGAGCATGTGGTTGTTCAACAGGCAAGTCACACCCCTGGACCACGTGAGGTCACATGTGTCTCCCCGTCCCTGGCAGCTGGAAGAATAAAAGGCGCCGATCTTTACGACGATGGCAAGCGGTGCGCCAAAAAGACTTTGGAGCACACATGGGAATGCAGACATTGTGTTTTGAGTTAGCGTGAAACTCTAGTTAAAAAAAAAATATCAGACATAGGACTATAGAATTATTAGGCCACGGGCCTCTACCCGTCTAAAAAAAAATGTCTAAAGCAAATACTGCAACATCAAATTGTTTAGTCGAACAACAAAGCAAATTTTTTTTATTGTGAACTTTTAACTACATCTTGCACAGAAAGAATCGACCAGCATCAGCTCAAGTACCCTGTAATAATTAAAAAAGAATACAAAATAAAACATGGGCAACAAAGTTGGTAGGGGGTGGGGGGTCACAGATTTTTTTTTCATATACATATAAAAAAACTCAAAATTGGGTTTCCTAAAAATCATAACTAAGCATTCCTTAACATTATTCTAACTCCTGACACAATGTTGCGTGTACATTCTCTGCAAGCTTCCACGATGAAGACCTCAAATCAAGTGACCTTCCTACATTCAACAATCTTTAAATTATACATCTGAGGTGCCTCCGTGTGGAAGATCCGATTATTTTGTTCGTACAGGGCTGGAAAAAAAAAGATACGACTTTTACAGTCAATATGGACCTTACTTGGTAAAATCAAAAGTTTTGTTTAGTTTTAATATGGGTAAAGGTGCTGCCCTGCAATTGCTTACTCATATCAAAACTAGCACAAGGGCCTCCACTAGAGGGCGTTATAGAGCCCCGCTAGGCTGTATTTGGCCTACTCTTCCATACCACAGACAATTTGGAAGCGGTGAGAATACCCACACTTAACCCCGCCAAAGGCAGCCTGCCAATCGAGTGTGGTGGCCCATTTATACTGCTGTATGGGGGAGACTATGGAGAGGCTTGCCAGGAGATCGAATAGGACCGGCGACCTCTGGATTGCAAGTCCAGTGAGCTGATAACTCTTACACTCTGGAAGCATCTCAAGAGTTAATGTACCAATTAAAATTAGAAACAATTAGCATTACAGTAATTGTATTCGTGTATTTTTTTTAAAGTGCAATTTTACATTTAAATATTGTTAGCTTTGAGACCTTTTTTTAAATTATATATTTCAAAGCACCCCGAGGCATTTTTTACCCATCTGTCTTTTCAGAATTAATACGAATTCAATCTATTTTGCACGCCTAACTCAATAGATTTTTCCAGCCCAAATACAATGTAACAGACGACGCGTCGTTGTGACATCGTGTAATACTGGTGTAGCCTGGGCTGAGATAAATTACAGTGCTTTGAAAGAAAGCTTTAATTATGTACAACAGGCTTTAATCATTAAACGTTGGACCTCTGTCCGCTGGCTGAGGCTGAAGAGTCTTTGAAAGTTATACGTTGCTGGTGTTATTGGTTTAACCTGTCGGTGTCAAAATCAAGGAATACATTTTGTGACTTCTTGGGAAGATCAGCAGAAATTCTGCAAAACAAAAAACACGGGATGACAAGAGGTGAGTAAAATACCAACCAAAGAGTACACGTGGCGATCACTTGAAAGCCTCGTCTAAGTTTGGAATTACAAAGAAAGCGACCGAGGTGGCTACATTGGTGTGAATATTTTCTGGAGCAAACCACAACTTTTAATTTTTTAAAAGACGGATAGTGTCACTTACTCTTCGACTATGTGAAGCACCCCCCTCTTTCTGGTATTACAAGACGTAGATAAAACATTTCAATGGAACCCTTGAAGCTGCTACACAACCCAGGGGGTCGATATATTTGGCGGTATTATTGCTAAATTAATATTACAAACGGTAGATTATGCTCCAGCGATGGGAGCTTTTTTACGGCAAGAACGGCGGACGACATTAATAATGATCGAGCGCTTGGACGTTTGGCACCAAAGTTGTCGAAAAGCTTTCCCCAAAACATTAATTAATCCATCCAGATAGCATATTAATACAATTCAAATACGAAATGGGCGAAACATAGTCTCAAGCACAGTCGAACGTTTCCACTTTGTTTATCCTCATTTGTCCATGTACATTGTCCAGACTATTGTTTTTGAACAATGTATTTGTTCTGCAATCACTTCCTCCTCACTCTCACACCTCAAGACCGGTTAGATGGGAGTCTTCAGACCTCTCCACTAGATGGCAGTACACACAGTGGTCAAAGTGGAGAGTTTTTTATCCTCATATCACAGGCTCCGTGTACAAGTAACAGCCCTATTTTAATTCCATTGCTGGATGAGGTCATGCGAGTCACATATATACACGTACCGTTACAAATACATAGTTACGTAGTGGGCAGCAGAGAGCAGGACAGTAAGTTCAATTGTTTTACTGCAGTTCAATGCTTCTCCCTGTGCCCCCCCCCCACCTTAACTCACCAGTACTGACCCGCCATCGTTGTAAAGTACAGTACCAATATCAGCTCCAGTCAGAAGCTAATTCTACTTCTACCAACATATCCGCACTCTCCCCACATTCTGGTCTTAAAACACCACAGAACTACAGCCCGTTTGTAAATACACCGCTGGATGAAGATGGCCTTCCCACACTGCGCACGCACTGACTTGATATTTAGCCATACTTCGCCACGCTGGTCAGTGTGGGGTGTTGGTATCGGTTGGAGTACAGAATAATGGAATTTGCAGTACCGCCCACTATCTGCCCACGACAGATACTGCATCTGTTTTTGGCCATGGTGATCGCCCTTCCAAGTACTAACCAGGATCACAATCTAGCTTAAGTTTCAAAGGTCGTGCAGAGGGCCAGACAGATTTTGCAAATTACGAACAATTTGGTCAGAGGCTTTCAACACAAGACAACGACGTCGAATAATTATTGGTCGAGGCTACCGACCTGTAATGTGTTGGTCTCTGGGTGCATCACGTCAGAGCTCGGCAGCTGGCCCGGCAGGAGGCTGGGAGGCCTCATGGGAGAGTCCGTCACCTAAGCAACGGAGATTTGAGAAACGTTCGTCAAGGTGCATTCTTTTCGTGGGCAATCCACTCGGTAAACTGATCAGAGGGGGACACCTTCCTGGCACTTTGTCCAGCACACAAAGGACAACTGCAAGAAAAGCAAAGAGTCATACGAATGTGAACCTACGAGGGCTGGGACAAAGAGTCGATGGGGTCGCACAATCGACAGGGAACTGCGATCGACTTTTATTATCTTCGCTTACGATTACTCGTGCACCTTTAAAAATGGAGGCCGCTCCAACATCCTGCCTACTGAAGGCAGGAAACCTCCTACAAGCCACTCCAAGCGTGACACGGCTGATGATGCGGGGGGGGATGTCACCAAACCACATCCTCGTCTCCTCTCGTCCAGCGACACAGTTCAGTTTCAGTTCAGTTTATTTATTTTGGTATAGCCCTGTGAGCCATTCGGCTCTTGAATCGGGTGCAACCACAACAAACAAAAAAACGAACAAGAAAAACATCTTAAAGTGACTGTGACTGTGCAAACAGAAAATCCATGAAACAAAAAACAGCAAAATATTCCTGAAAAAAGCACCGTACACCAACGCTGTGTGCAAAAAATCCCAGTGGGATGCAAGTCAAACAACAACAACCACAAGTGGCGACAGAGCTGGGAGATCTTGTTCCCCACAATAACTTTCATTTGACTGATTAGTCAAGCAACAGATTACTTGAATAATTGGATAGCCCAGCTCGATAAGTTTAATTGATTGTTTTTGTCCAAAACACTCAGATTTTTTTCCCCTTTACGGTCACAGAGTACAAGCCCAAATGCCCAAAACACCAATTGGCCACGGACAAGCAGCACTACTGAAAGCGTACAAGATAAGGGAGAGGGTTACGAGAACAGGCAATTACAACGAGTAACATGATAGTGACCAACCTTGTCTTCACTGGCCATGTTGCCGTACTGATCGTAGCCACAGGGGGACTCCACTTTCATCGCCTGTCTTACCAGATTCATCTGTGGGTAATTGAAGAACACATTCAAAACATTAATGAAATAAAAACGGAGCCACTTGCAACAACCTGGAGACGGTAGCAAAATGTCATCGTTGATTCAATAGCGGTGGAGTTCAAATTTTTAAGGTTTTTAGTGTTCTAAACTGGTGAAGGTGCAGCCCTGCATCTTTTTGCTCATGCCACGTGCTGGTGGAAGGGCCTCGATGAGAGGGAACTTTAGAGGACAGTTTGGCCTACTCTTCCATGTTGGCCAGACATCTTGGAAGAGGTGGGAGAACCCACACTTTACCCCACCACACGCAACCTGTCAATCGACTAATTGTGGTGCACCCATTGATGCTCTCGGGTGGACAGAGGCGGTGGGGGAGGGGGGGGGGGAATTTAAGAAGCTTGCACCGTCATTTCGCCTGCCGCGGCGGGAGAAGGGAGTCGAACCTGTTACCTCTGGATTGCAAGTCCCATGTGCTAATGCTAACCATTACACCATGGCAGCATCCCAGGAGAGTTAAACTGGCCAATAATTGCCTTATTGCTTGTAAAATTGAGCACACTTATTTGGCAAGTGATTGAAAAAGTGTGGTTGACGCTATGACTAAAGGCAACGTTGTTGACGAGGGCATTAAGTTTTATTGTTAATTATACTGCTGGGCTTGACAGTGACGGGAGGGATTCAAGAAACTTGCTCCATCATTTTGATTGCCACGCTCACCACTTTCACCACGTTTAAATCTAATTCATGTTAAAATTCCCGAACCGGTAAATATTGAAAGGTGGCTTGCGAACTGCTTTGTCATCATGAAAGCCACACCTATGAAGACAGCCACAGATTTTACTTATCTTGTTTGAACATCTCCATGGCAATGGCAGCAGAAATATGTACTTAATTTCAAACGCTTTCCCGAAGTATGACAGCACAATCACAGGTCAAACCTACCTGCTGCGTATCATAGCTATCTTAAAACGAGTGACATATTAACTGATGACAGCTTACTTTGTATTGAACAAACGTAATAAAAATTATACAAGGATGAATGAACGGGGTTGACTTCCTACTAAATTACCATATATATTAAAGCAGAAAAAGGTATATTTATCAGCAGTGTATATAACCAACGTTGACATGCGGATGAAAAATATGGACAATGACGAAGAAAACTGCACAAAAGCTGAATTTTACACACAAGCGTGGAGAGATCGAGGCTTGGAATTACACTGAGACAATTACAGTGAAGGGGAGAGAGACAGGATGAGGAACAAAGTGAATCAAGAAGGTACGCAAGTAGTTAGAGACATCATACAGAACGTTAATGAAACTAAGCGGGCTTGGACGGAATGTCGCTAAAAGGGACGATGGCCAGTGGTCAATATGAATGTATGTATGTATTACTTATTTCGCACCATACGTAGCCAACAGTGCTAATCAGACGTGCGGGGGCTATGGTTAGGGCTGGCCCTCTCTGCTCTGAAGGGCCATTGCCCTAAACGTCAGCCGTCCAGTGCTATATGTTTCAGTTTTAAGGCACCGTCATTGCATTGATGGTGGTGATGGTCGTGGTGGTGCTGCATGTGCGGGTACAAAGACAAAGATCCCCCGTATAGCCTTAACAGACTGTTGGGGCAAGTGCTGTTAAGCGAGTAGCACCTATGAAGGCCGATTCGGCGCACGAGGCTTAGTGGACCTCGGGGAGGCCCAGGACCGGTTCAGATAATCGTCACTGGTGTTAGCCGTGAACGGGCATCGAACTCGGGTCGCCAGGTTCGTAGCACATTGCGCTAACCGCTACACTCCCGGTACAACACCACAACCACTACCAACGCATCACAAAGTGGCAGCCAAAGGAGGAGAAGATGTTTGAGATGACGTGCACTGTGGAGATGAAATCGGTACAAATGCAGGAGCGGAGGGTATTATTCATCATTAGGCAAAGCGAGGAAAGCTTAACCGAGTCTAAAGACATTTTTTGAGGAGGGTCCTGCCAAGTAATTTAGCAGTAGAGCGCAATGATTGTTGTACTGCAAGACTATGAACACATGAGAGATGGTAACGGCATGGCAATGCCTGTATCCAGCATTGGACAGAAATATGATCGATGATGATGATGATAAGCATATGTGCATACAGGGTGATCACTTTATTGACACCCCGCCAATTTATTTCTCAGCAGCTGAGTGAATATTGTGAAATCGATGACTCTATAACTTGACATCGGCATTGTTTTCTCTATACATTTTCACTTATTATTATAATAATCATTATAACAGTGGGGTACCTACATGAATGGATCACCCTGTACAAGTCGTATCGACGAGGCAACGAGTGACGCCGCACACCCACCTGGCTAGCAACCACATCTGAGGGCAGCTCTGCAGACATGCCCATTGGGCAGGGACCGGTCACCCGTGCAGCACCATTGCCACCACCGCCGCCGCCACCGTCGCCACCGCCTGCGCCCATGGACTCTGGCAGACCCATGCCACCGAAGGGGCTAGGGTTGCCCGGTCGCCCAAACTGCTGATGGTACATCTCACTGCGCACACGTGCCAACAGAGAACAGCAGCCATTAGGAACATGCGTTGGCGCGAGCGGAAAACGCGCGTTCGTAGCAATACATTACAACATGCACCGAGCTCTTGACCCAATTCCTACTTGCGTAGGTTTTTGCGCTTGTGCCGCGTAGCTTCTCCGATGTGTTTTATGGTTGCACCGCGTGATGCTCGGCACGACGCCTGATGTTTCGCCGCACGTGCTGGGAGCTTCTTCAGGTTATTCCAGGCTGAAGAAGCTCCCAGCACATGGAGCGAAACACCAGGACATCGTGCCAAACAACGCTGTGACCAAATCACCCGGAATGCGCCGGACTTCGTCAATATCTCGGAAGCTAAGAAACAGGGTTTAGGCCTGGATAGCAAGCGCTTGGATAGGCAACCACCATGCACAAAAGGGGTTGGTCGATGTGGTGGGCAGCGCAACAAATACTCTATTGTTGTACTGTTCTTCTACGTTTCCGTATCTACGATTCCTGCCTTCACCAACCAATGGTCGATTTCGAGGTTGAGTCATTTAACTGTCAACATTAGTTTTAGTATAAAACATTTTGATGAAGGATGCCTTTAAAGGCACAGTGGGATTACTTGAGTGTGCCTAAAAGTACATTGTAAGTAATTTTCTATCCTCCACAAAAGTTCAAGCTCACATTGAGACAGCATGGGTGCAGTTGCTCAGCACAGGCTCAAAGGCCCAAAAACGCCAAACGGCCAGTAACAAACATCACTATAAAAGTAGTAATGAACATATTACTTGAACAATGCAAGATTATAAAGAACTTGGTGAAAGGAGACAATGGGAGGGAATTCCCAAGTCGAGGAGTATGAGGCATGGAACAGAAAGAGTAAGTGTTGTGACCTGTAGTGTAGTGGCTGAACAGTGGGTGAGCCCAAACAGGCAGTCTTGCAAGACTGAATCCTCATCATGGGTGATGGAATCAACGAGTTAAGTTCATGGGAATGGTAACAGTGGCAGTAGTAGTGATAGAAGAGTGAAAAGGAGGCAACCGACTGCCAGTGTGCAACAAGAGTTGGAAGTGGCACAAGTCAAACCTGTTGGTCATCGTGCTGGTGTCCCAAGGCTTCATGTCACTCGGAGCCTCCATGAGCAGGCCCTGTGGGGCCAGACGCGGGGACAGCAGGGGGCTGCCGGGCCCAGGAGCCATCCCAAAGCCTGTGTCCGACGGCTGGGACATGCCTGGACAAATCAAACATTCTACATGGGCAAAAAATAAACCACACTACTACGGTGAGGATTTTGTAAAACATAACTTAAGCAACATACCAATGCGCCTGAAGAACAACATATTTAATTGGCTTATGTCACCTGCTAATAGTAGCATTTTGTAAACAGTAACTTTTCAATCCACAGCTGGACAATGGATAAGAGGTTTTAAGAAATTTGCACCATTATTTCGACTGCCACGCTGGGAGATCAAATGGAACCGGTCACCTATGGACCACTAATGCACTGTGCTAATCATTACAATATGGCAGACTTTATGCGATTTTGGCAAATGTGCGGTAAAAGTCAGGATAGCGTGATCTAGCTCATCAAATATAAGTGTCCTTACCTGAATGAAACTGGAACACATTCTGCTGTCCCATGCCCGGCCCATATTGGCCCATGCCATCTCCTGCCATCATACCTCCTCCTCTTGCAGCCATCCCACTTTGCACACCTTGATGCATTCCTGGAGGGAGATGGTTCCACATTACCAATGTGACTCTTGAATGTGTGATCCGTATTCAAAACTAACATTAATAACATCATCACTGCCACGGAATCACTTATTTGAATTATCCTCATACCTACCCCGTTGCACTGAAGTTACCCATTAAGCCACTGTGTAAAACATTTGCGATATGGGTCCTAGCATTGCGTCAAGGAAGCTTGACTGCTGATGAGACATTGTATGTCAAAACCGGTCCAGAGTTTGCTTGCACTAAATCAATGCTGCTAAAATTATGCACTCCCAGAAGGCGGTGCTGCTGATGGGTTTGGCAAGAAATACTTTCGTGTTTTGTGTGGAGAGATGGATATGTGGAGCATGCTTTGTCCTCATTTAAAAGTGTATTAAATTATTTTGTACATTTTGCCGACTTTCATTATTCACAGTGGTGACATCCACGTTACCTTTTTGTGCCTGCAGGCATTGTAATCTTTTAAATCTTGACTTAAAACTTTCGTGACTGCAGGAATTCATATTCTTTGGGTCTTTTGGTAAAGTCACGTAGGAAGGTAAAAAAAAATTCACACGAAATTTATTTCTCTAAGACGAAGGTACTTTGCAAGCCCACTGGCTATCAACAAAAATCCGTTCATGAAGCCATCTATATATACAGACGTAGCCACAATTTCAACCGAGAGGACGGGTACAAACATTACAGCCAGTTATGACTTCAACCAGTTGAAGTCATAACTGGCTGTAATGTATCCATTTTAGCACTGTCCGTTGCTCACCAGTTTTTTAATCCCTCAGATTAGCATAGCCTTCTCCGCTCAATATGCCGAGGCCCACCGTTTGTTAATCCCTCATATTAACAAGCTCATCCGCTCATGCTCCCCCCAAGGCTCGTGCCCTGCCCACCCCGTTCTGACACTTGGGCTACGCCCATTTTAAACCTTGAAAACAGTTTGCCTTTAGAGGCTAACCCCTCTTTTTATCTCCACCTGATGACGACCGCTTGTGTTGCGATCAAAACGTCGTAGTTTTTGTAAAAAAAAATATTAACCTATCTACGTGACTTTACCGAAAGGCTCAAAGAATATTTGAATCTTTTGCTTAGAATTCACCTAAATACTCCTAAAAAACACTCAACATATTCTTCAATCACACTTATTACATCTGGCAACGGCCATCCAAGTGCACTGAAGGATGGTCATTGGCCTGAAACGTAACCTATTAAATATTTTTTTTTTATTTTAAGGCAGTGATATTGACGAACGTGTTGGATGTCTTATTTGTTAACTGCACTTGGGCACTGCTGCCAAAGCAGCACTATATAAATCCGAAAGAGAATAGAATAATTGTTTAAATTCTCCTCTCTCCTGAAACAGACTTTTGATGTTAACGTTCTTGTTAGTGCCTGTAATTAGCTTAACATTCCTCGCCTTTGGCAATGTCCAAGTGCAACTTGCATCGCACTGGCCTGCGATATCTTTTTGAACTTGACGAGGATAGAAACATCCCTGACAATGTGATGTTTATATCAATGAGAATTACACCAATTGTATATTTTAAAAAAATGTCAATTTCAGTTCATCAATACTCTTTCAGAAATCTAATATATGTCCTTTCGATTTACAGCTTTCTTTACTGCAGGGATTCATATTCTTGGTTCTTTCGGTAAAGTCACGTAGAAGGAAAACAAACAATAAAATTATCACGACGTTTCGACTGCAACACAAGCAATCATCATCAGGTGTGAAAACCACAGCAAGAAAATTTGGATTCTAGCAAGAAAATTTGAATTCCAGCAAGAAAATTTGCTGTGGTTTTCACACCTGATGATGATTGCTTGGTGTTGCAGTCGAAACGTCGTGATCATTTTGTTTTATATTTTTATTATTTTATTGTTTCCCTTCTATGTGACTTTACCGAAAGAACCAAGAATATATGTCCTTTCGTAGACCTTAAAAGATTTAGAATAAATTTTCACGTGAAGATGAGGAGGTTCCAGATGTTACATTTGAAGGAGATTAACACACTGCCCCTTGACAATATGATTTGTTTTACTTTCATGTGGATTTTGTTATATAAAATAAAATATTTTATACCTACGTGAATTTTTTTTTTAAATTACCTACGTGACTTTACCGAAAAAAAACAAACAATATGAATTCTTGCAGTCACAAAAACTTCAAATCTATAATTAATACCTAGGTGACTTTACCGAAAAAACCAAAGAGTATGGATTCCTGCAGTCACGAAAGCTTCAAATCAAGATTAGACCAGGATAGGTCAAAATGCAGAATCAGAATATTTATTTACACTGAGTCCAATTTGCAAGAGTGATCTGGGGAATTAGCTTACCAGCATGGGGCACAAATCACTGCTGTGTGTAACAATTCCCAATTTGGTAATTTGCAGGTACATTTTTTTATTGAGCAAATTTGACGCTGGCACAAAATGGCCTACTCTTGCAAATTATGTCAGGGATGGGGAGTAATATTTAACTTCCACCGTGAATCAGATGGGCACATCGTGTTATGGTTATTGCACGCGCATGAATAATCAAGGTGGCCGCTGGATTCAAGCGGTGCACCTCTGCAGCGAGAGGGGAACGTCGCCGCCACTAGGCCGAGGCTCCTGGATCATAAACCGTGGACATCACCACAAGAAGTGGAACCCAGCTGTCGTAACCAAATTGGCAGTGGGATTTTGTAGACATTTATTTCCATGGAAATTAAATACCTCAATCGTGGAATGATACCTTAAATCATTGTTATTTCAAAAAAATGTCAACGAAAATTTGTAATGAATTACAAGAGCCATTAGCTTCCTATGACACGTAGATGAATTGTTCACGAAATTCAGTGAACCAAATATTTTGCAAGTTAGAGGTGGCCAGCCAACCAGAGGCAAGATGGATTTCAAAATGTTTCTTTTTGCCGCTGATCACAGACAGTTCGGGGCTGATGATGACCGTGGCTGATGCTGCATGTAAGTTGCTTGAGGTATTAAACCACAGCGGCAGAAATTAGCATGAAAATTACTTCAAGAGAAAAAAGAAAACTCGCTTGTTTTTAAAACCATCAGAAAAAAACAACGGCTCCTTGGCATATAAAACAAGTGCAGACTTGACAGAGTTCTGCCTCAGAGGGACACCCAGATCCGGGGAGTGCACTTAATTCAAGCATAAATGTTCAGTAATGATGCGCGATTCTCCCAAGTTTGACCACGCCACAAGCACGCAGTGTTCTACGCCACTGAACGTCATGGGGATTCTTTGACATGAACATTAATTACCATTCTCATTGCACTTGTTCAATCACAATGCAAGCAAGCTAAACATTAAGCAATGTAGCTGCCCTCCGGAATAACAAGAGCACCGGTCTGGCCCTCCGACGTGTTTTCAGGTTGTGTCGCGCGTTGTTCAGCATGCGGGGAAACTTCAGGAACTAGAATATGAGCAGCTCATTTTCTCCCGTGAGTATACGAATATAGTATTGTTGGCTGTTGATGACGATTGGCTCAGCACTCTGATATGGATCAGACAATAACGGTGAGCTGCTCAATTCAGTAGCTAAACAAGTTCTCAGTACTAAATGTCGGGACATCATGTCAAACACGCGGCATTGCTGTTATAGATTGGGCTTTTAGATTAACGATGCCATTAAATGCGTAATGCGAAGACCCATAACCACCTGACGCAGTCAAACAAATTACATATTCTACGTGTACAAGCGTTTAACGGGGCCAATTATTATTGTTTTGGATTGCCGATAAGATGAAGAATGATCACAGCAAAAGGTCACAATTATATATGAAAGGTAGCAATTATAAGTATCAAAAGGACAAGATCCAGAAAGTGAAAATAAAAATCCAGTTAGTCAGAATGACTTGAGGTTCTTAACGACACAAATTTCGCCACGTGACCGAATCCAAAAGTCAATTATGGAATCATAACATTGGCTCCGTAAACTAATTTGTTAATTTAACCATTGCTGTTGTTACTTTGAAGGGCAGCTACAATATCCAAGACAGAGCATGCATGGCACTGGCCACAGTGTTTGTAGTCAAGCAAGTGTGGTGCATGGTAATTTATGTCCATGCCGTACAACACGGAGCATTGCGCAATAGTACATCCCATAGCTGTACAGCACAACCACAAAAACCTACACGGCCGCACCACAGCGTTCACTGCATTACGCGCTTTCAGATGCGCTGTTGCGGCTGTGTGGAATGCGCTTCATCCTGATATTAGGAAGCCACTGGAGCTAAGCACTTTTAAATATAGATTGCAAACTGCTTTTTGTGTTCAGTTTGTTGCCCTTCCCCCGCACCTCCAATTAGCACGGTTGGTTATGTACTATGCGAGAGAAGTTCAACATACATACATATTTACTCTAAACTTAACATTTTAAGTGGTAAGGCCCACTGAACTATATAGCTCTTTTTCAGAAGTGACCTGGCCACAAATGATAGCTCAACAAAGTGGCTCATCATGTGGCAATTTATAGCAGCGAAATACTCTGAACGCATGTTTCTAAATATGGAGGGAAAAACCGGAGGACCCGGATAAAAATTAACGCGACCAGGGAGAGAGCCATGTAAACAAATATACAGGCGTCAGGGTCGGGATCGAAGCCACAACCTCTAAGATAGCAAGCAAGGTGTTAACATCTCGCCACTGCGGTGCCCCATCCAGCCATCTCACAGATACAACACACCACAAGAGTAACTGTGCTGTCGTCTCACCCTGCGTGGCGAGCGGGTTGCTCGCACCCGGCGAGGGCGGGCTGCCGTAAGGATGGGGGTACGTGTGGCCCTGGTGCTGGTAGGCCGCCTGGCCCATGGCCACCTGCCCCGCAGACGGCGCCAGGCCTGGGTGGCGTGGCGGCGCCGGCACACCCCGGCCCAGCGTTCCCGGGGAGGGAGCGAAAGCGGCCTGATGCTGTGGTCTCATCATCCCTGTCGCGGCCACTCGCTGCTGCTGCTGCTGCTGCATCATCTGCCGCTGCCGCAGTTGCTGGTTCAGCATCTCCCTGTGGCGCTGCGCCAGCATTTGTGAATTCAGGGTGACCTGTAGTAGACAGGAGAAATATATATTAAATAAAATCTCACTGCAGCATGACCACTGCTGCTATAGCCGCACAGAGCATTATCATTCAGTTTAAATGTCCAACAACTCTAACCGTGTAAATATAACACCTACTTTCACTTTTTGAAACTGCGCGTTCGTAAATTTTACGTGGCGAGTGTTTTCACTGGTAGCTCTCCGTACCGCTAATCTTGGGACACGACCTCGTGATTGTCACCTCAGTCTTAATAAGGTGCTGTATCTCGGTTGTGAACTCCTTAAAGGCAATGACAACCGAAGCGAACGGTGCCCTAATCTCAGGCTGCGTCTTCACACAGGTTCGTTAATTTTGTCTCGTCACAGTCATGCCTGGGTCTCTGCTGGGGAGTCGTGGTCATCATCACGCCTGATGATTTCATCCAATCATTGCCATTATTGACTAAAACGTTAATAAAAAAATATTTACCATATTCTCTGGATTATAAGATGTTCCGGAGAGGAAAAAATACCCACACCCCACAATTTGTAGTCATTTTGAAAAAGAGTTTTCTGATGAAGAGAATACAGTACTATGAAACGCCGTCTTCTATAAGATGATTATGAACATGCTGCTCTAAATTTGGGAGATCTATCTTTCTGGAAGATGATTCTGAACGACCAATTGTGTTCCTTCTATCCTCTGGGTGATCGAGTACTGCTACAGAAAGCTGCCTTCCAGAAGACGATTCTGGAAAACACGCGGCTTTAAATTGGGGAGATGTATCTTCTGGAAGTTGGCTGACGCTACTGAATGGACGTTGGTGCGACCTATAGCCTGGAGAATACTGCAATTGCCAGCAATTTTCGTCACTAATTTCACAAACGAAATTAACGCTGTGCCGACACACACACACCCGACTTGCCGCGGATGCGTGCTGGGGCAGGCTGGCACGCAGGGCAGGGCTGCCCGAGGGGCCCGGGTAGAACTGCCCTCCCATCATCGCGCCTCTGTTCTGAGCCATCTGATGACAAGAAAGAGACAACGCGTTAACAAAATAATTTCCGATGCAGAGTCCACAGGCGGACGTATTAATTTCTTACTGGATTAATTAGTGCCGTTAAAATGTTTTTAATAACATATTAAATTATATTGCAATTGTACTCTCGGCATAATGTCTCAAGACAAACTTTTGTTTACGCAAAAAATTCAGAACTATAGGTGTACCACCTTGTGTCAGAATGGTTCCAGATGTTATCACACAACTTGTAAGGCAATGGGGAAAGATTTATTAAATCCCACCCGACTTCTGTCCACTCAGCAGTATAAACGGCGGGTACACCGCTGTTCGTCAATCGGAAGGCCGCATGTACAGGTAGTCCTCTACTTATGATGGAGATGCGTTACGACGACCCCATCGTAAGTTTAAAAAATCGTAAGTCGAAGATGGCCTAGCCTACCCAGGAGTCTTAAAGAATGGTGATAATTTAGCAAAACAGAGCTATTTACAGTACCGTACTGTATAAGCTATATACTGTATGTATTTATTAATTACAATACTGTATTGCACAGTAAAATGTAAAGTATAAAAACAAGGTAAATTCTTAGCCTAGCTATATGAACTGCAATTTAATAGAAAGTTTTAAAAATATTTTACAATTTTGTCGTATTGCTATCGCCATCGTAAGATCAAAATATCGTAAGTCGGACCATCGTAACTCGGGGACTATCTGTAGTGGGATTAAGTGTGGGTCATCCCACCCCTTCCAAGGCATCTAACAGGTGGATAAAAGTAGGGCGAAATAACCTTTGGAGGGGCTTCTCTTTTTTTTACGCTGGGCGCTACGATGGCTTGCCTTGGTGTACAGGAGGTCGTGGGTTTGATCCCGACTGACGTCTGTATATTTGGAGTTTGGATGTTCTTGCTACACTTAGAAACACATGCGTTTAGAGTATTTGGCTGCTATACATTTCTGAAAAAGTACTTACATCTCAGTGAGCCTTACCTGGTAATATAAAAATAGTTTCATTTACGTCTACAAATAGCATTACTCCACACGTCTCGCGTGAAAGGCCCGCGCAAATCCCACGCACGAGCACCTGCTGCTGGCTCTGCAGTCGTTGCTGGAGCTGAAAGCGCAGCTGGGCCGAGTTGAACTGGGCGGACGCCGTGGGCCTCACTGCCCTCATCGCGGCCGCCTGCCGCGCCTGCAGAGGATGCATGGGTCTCGCAGGGCTCAGTGTGCGCATGCCACCCCCGCACAGCGCCGCACTGCCGCCCCCGCCACCGGGATAGCCGCCCTGCGAAAACTGGTGCTCCATGTAGGGGTGCATGCCGGAGTAGACCCCGCCGTGGCTCGGGTCCGCCGTGTAGGGCGACTGCCGGGCGTAGCCAGCGAGAGCGGCCGCTGTCTGCTGCTGTTGCTGTTGTTGCGTCTGCTGCTGTTGCTGTTGCTGCTTGTGCTCCATGGACATTCCGGACATGTCTGGGTTTGCTGAATACATGGGCGGTTGCAGCTCCATCGGCCCGCACTGCAGGAAGGCAAATGAACGGGCGAGTGTCAGGACGCTGCAGTACGGCTGCCACCAAATACGCTACAATCATTTACGTTGCGCAGAAAAGGCTTTTGCAGACATTTGGCAAATCTCTTAAGATGAATGAACCGATCATAAGTACGCACGGGGAGGATTGAAACGATTTGCCTTTCCCATACCTGTAAGGTCATGAATCAGGGTCACAATTTAATTAAGAAATTGATTCGTTTTGCCTTGTTTGTAACGTCTCTTTCACTCAAATATCCTAAAATAAGGTTTTGTAAATAGTTTATAAATATTTGCATAATCAATATATGATTCCTACACACACATTAGAGCAAGCATTGGTTTTAAACAAATCGTTACTCTTTTTAACACGTAGGCTTTCGCGACCAATATTATTCATAATAAAGGTTTTTGGGTTAGATCGCGTAATTTATAAATGTGTCCTAAACCTCCACCACCCGACACGGCCAAAGAGTAAAAAATGTGTCACGTTTACAAAGGACAAATAGTTCACTACTTTAGCCCACCGGTGTGTTGAAGAGTGAATCAACATCATTTTAAACTTGAGTACGACGTTTCGCTGGTAATTACATCTAGCATCATCGGGCAATTCGCCAGAATGGTAAAGCCCTCACTTGCTCCCGGTCTTAAATAGAGCAGCAGGGTAACGTCATCATTTAACTCATTCAGGTGCAGTGATTTGAGGTGGAGGGGGGTATTGTAATTATATAATCGATTAGTAATCAGTCAATGGTTATGATTAGTAATGAGTTGTAGATTAGTAATTAGTTGTAATGTGTGTTTTGATTATATGCTACGTTAGTAATCCGTTAATTAGTATGTGTTTCCCCTATAAGCAATTGTAGTATGTATTATTTAATAATACGCTTCCAAGCCGCACTAAGCCTGTTGCTGTCAGAGCGATTAAAGTTATTTCTGTTTCTCTCAATTTCAATGGATTCTCTAATTAGTCTTTGCCAGTAATAATTAGTTTTACACAATACTTCAGCGTTACCAAAATCAATTGAGTGTCCTTGTTGACAAGCATGTTCTGCCACTGCCGACAGTTGTGTTTGAGATAATTTAATATTTGGTGTTCTTTTAGTCTTATGCTGATGTTACGTCCCGTCTGTCCAATATAGCATCTACCACAAACAGTTAATCCGATATATACCTTCTGTTGATAATTTAGGTAATTCGTCTTTAGTGCAAGATACTAGGTTTTGAATTTTGTGTACTGTACCAAATCTTACTCTGTTTTGCTTTTGCAAAACATTAGAGTAATTTGTCAGTTACTCCTGAGATATATGGAATTTTAATTGTTTTAACAATCTGATCGCTTTCAGCAGTGTTGATTTGCGATCGTGATTTGGCATTCAGTGCTCTGTTAATTTGAGTATTATTGTAGCCATTCTGTCATAATGCGTCTTTAACATGTTTGATATCTCTCACTAGACTTTAACCATCTGACATTGTTTTAGCCCAATGTATGAGCGTCTTGATAAGAGAGGATTTCTGAGCTGGATGATGATGCGAATCTGCATTCAGATAGGCCTCAGTGTGCATTTGCTTTCTGTAAACGCTGTGTTATTTTACCGTTTAGGCCATGTCCAAGCAAAATATCTAGGAACGGGAGTGTGTTATTCACCTCCATTTCCATGGTGAACTGGATGGCCGGGTTTTGTGCATTGAGATGATTTAGAAAATCATTAAGTGTATCTTTACCATGTGGCCAAACAACCAAAGTGTCATCCACATATCTAAACCAAAAATATGGTTTTAATGTGCTCGAGGCAAGTGCTCTTATTTCAAAGTTTTCCATGTACAGATTTGCTATGGTCGTTACTCTTTGAAAATTGTAAGGCATAGGCCCCAAGCATTTGAGTAAAAGTTCCAGTATGATCTGGCTTAACGCTGGTGACTGGATCCACAGAAGAAAATAGAGACGTCAAGGTGCAGTGCTATAATTGCATTGCTCATGTCACATCATTACTGACAGAAGGGCATCCACTAGACAGGGCCTCTAGAGGGTATTTGGTCTACTCTTTCACGCTGAACAAACATTGTAAGAGGTGGGGGGTACCTACAATCCATTTATACTGCTGCTAGGTGGGCACAGGCAGGCGGTGGGTGATTTAAGAAAGTTGGTCATTTTTTTACTTCCGTGCCAGAAGATGGAATTTAGCTGACGAACCTCTGTGTAGTCCAGTGTACTAACCAACAAACCATTACACCGGGGCAGCTCCCCTCAAATCATCCGTGCCTCGGTGTATAAAATACACGGGGGGGCGACCCGTCACTTGTGCAGTGCGCGCTTCGCCGCAACGGGTGGAGGAGACTCGCCTGCATGAGCTTGTCGATGCCGAGCGCCCGGTCGATCTCCGCGAGCTCTTGCTCGTCGGTGCTGCTCAACAGTGAGTGCAGCTGGGCCATGAGGACGAGGTCGTCACCTTGGGTCTCACGGGCTCTGGACCCCGAGAAGACCATGCTGTCCGGGCCAGGACCCATTCCGGGCCTGCTGGTCGCACGCGAGCACACGCGCACACGGCCGGCCATGGCGTCGTTAGTTGGAGAATCGCTGACGTGGCCGAGCAGTGACGCATTCGCCACTGCTCATCGCAGAGTTTGGCGGTTACACACCGGCGGCCGCCCTGGTTAATATACTGTGGGTGTTGTTAATTTAAACCCATGCACCTGTCGGCTCCACAGTGGATATTAAAGATCCCATTAAGAAACAATATAACAAAAGGAGGCCATGTATAGCGCAGTCATTGTCAAAACGTGCTAAATTTATAAACTACTTGCAAATTGCCAAATTGGATCAAACCAAATGGCAACGTAGCCTCTAGTGGAAGCCTATACCTGTCTGTCAAACACAGTGACTTGTGCAATAAGAAATGTTTTCACAATGCTTATTTGAAAATAAAACAAAATGAAGAATGCTTTATTGCAAGAGAAGATGTTACGTGTTTCAGTACCTTCCGTGATCTCCCATAATGCTCTGTTCCATTCCCATCATGCCCTCCACCCACTGCTCCGGTTGCTGCTGCTGCTGCTGCTGCGGTCGGTACGGTAGGTCGTCCATCTCCAGACCGAGGTCTGTAGGACCTGATCGCATGCCAAAGAAAAGCAGCAAAGTTCAACGTCTACCCGCGGTTGAGAATCTTGCACCGCAGTTTCAGCAGTGCCTTCTTGGCAGAGTGGTGGTAGATTTGCCACTTGTTGCAGAGTTTAGAGCCCATCGGCTGCCCTGGTTAATACTGCGGGTGCATTAAATGTGAAATACGTGCTGTCTGCTTCACAGTGGACGTTCAGGATTCCATCACAATATATTCAAGAGAGAGTAGAAGGTGGCCACGTGTGTTGACGTCATGGTCCCATTTTCAAAATTGTACAAATCGATCCCAAATCACTTCTTTGGGAAGAAACACAGCAATATCGCTCCATACTGGCAGATTCATGCCCACTTGGGCTGGCCGGTGCTGCGTTCACCTTGCGCCACACAGAGGACAGCTGCCGATGGGGGGGTCCCACTGCCAGAGGGTGCATCGACATGTACTGCATGGCAGGCACGGAATAAAATATTAAGCAATGATGATAATGATCTCTGAAGAACAGTGAGCACGAGGGAGGCATCACAAGACTCACCAACGTCAATCATGTGACCCGACTGACTGCTGGGCCTCATGGGAAGTGTTGGGGCGCCGCTCCCCACGACACCGCCCTGCATGGGGCTGTAGCCAGGCGCCGGGCGAGAGGTCAAGGTGGGCACACTGCTGGCGCCGCTGTGGGACGGGTAGGGCCCGAGCGGCGTTTGGGGACCCCAGGCCTCACCACCCGGCACGCTCATCCTCCTCATGACACCCCCAGGTCCGGCCATCATGCCTGCAACCCCGTAAATAGGTTCGTATAATTCACCTATTAAAAAAATAAATGGAAAAAATTGTGGAGGCACAACCCAGACATATGAGTGTGCGGTCTGGGTCCTACGCCAGACATCGTTAAGTTCGACACCAAAAAATGAACACCGTAAACAGCACTATCAACAGAAGTGTCGCTGCTAGGCATCACATTCCGAGGGCATCTATAAAAGTCAAAACACTCCAAACTTTTACGTAGCAGAATGTAATCTACACTAAACAAGTGGAAATCCCATGAACCCAGATCTTTAGTGCCATGGAACAACTCCCTGCATCTGCTATAGCCTTTCAGGACCACCGGGGACACATGCTTAAAGGAAAGGAGGCAGACTTAAAGAAAATAAAAATAACCCATTCCTGATTAACCCATGCCAATCTCCCTCATGCCTGCAGGTTTCAGAATCAGCATCTTAACAGGTTTAAGAATCGGCATCTTAATTTAGACTAGAGGAATCCCATGAGCTAGGAAGCTCTTTAACACAGATGTCCAGCAGGGGGCGGGTCAGAGAGTCACAAGCCAGCAACGAACAACCGCTGACCCGTACGCATCGTTACCTCGGCCGCAGCCGCAAAAGTCTCACCTCCCATGCTGGGGTGTCTCAGGGGCGTGCCGGACGGGTAGAGGCCCCCGTTCCGCGCGGCCGGGTGCGAGGGCGGCGGAACCACGGGCTGCATCGGGCCGCACCCGAGGCCGCCCGTCGACACGCTGCGGGCGAACTGGGGCCGCGGCGGCGTAGCCTGCCCCTGTGGGCCCACAGACGACGGGACGGAGGGGGGACCTGCGGCCGCCGGGGGGGTGGGGCATACGTCAGCGGACACGAGGAGAGGGTTACTTCTGCGCGGCTCATTCGGCGCATCGCATTGTACGGTGTTATCCAACGGATAAAAATTGCGGCGTGCTAAGGATCACGTGTATGTTTCAATGATGAGACAAAGAACAAAAAGGTCAGGTCAAAGCGTTCAAACAAGCAACGGGTTCCCATGATAATGTGTGTTTGTTGTGTTGAATTGGGGGAGGACATTCCACATTCCTGTGGCGGAAACCAGTCTCTCAACAGTACGATCACTGAAGACGAATGGAATTGTGCATTCGCCATTTTCCACCAAAAGGTACATTTTGGCGTAAGGAGGTAAAAATATACAACTGTTTAAATGTAACTTGAACAAAGTGGCTTCGTAAATGGTGTGCATGATTAAAAACAATCATCTCTGCAGCCAGTTGCTATTTCCATCGGCATCTTATTATTGTATTGCAATGCTTGCTCTAACCACGAAGCCCCACTGAGTCTCATGACACGTTTTCAGGAGGGTCCTGCTAAGCTTTTGCAGGAGGTGGGGGGGCAACGACTGCTCTAGCGATTCCAGTCAAGTAATTTACGGGTATTTATTTCAAATTTGGACCATGATAGCGGGAACACAATGATGGACTAACTCCTGAATCCGGTGGCATAACGCAAGAGTAGAGTATGTGTCACCAAAGTTCGTTATGAAGTTGGGAACCAGGGACTGTGGAATGGACGTGAATTGGGCCCACAAATGGACCGGGAGGGCAGAGGTCACATGTACGAACAACGCCATGAGGATGAGGAGTATGAAGATGATGAGGAGGGTGAGGAAGGCGAGGGAGGTGAGGGAGGAGAGAAATAAATCACCAGAGAGAGGGGCACTGCTCGAGTCCCTCGTCTCGTTGCCATTCTGCTGCAGCAGGTCTTGCAGCAGTGCCTTGGCAGGACCCCGGGAATCTCCTTTGCCACCTTTACCACCTTCCAGAGCATAGGCCATGCCCTGCAGCGCACTGTCCAGGCCCTCAAAGTGGTCCAGCTTCATCTGTTGTTAAAAGGAAAGATTTAACCTCCATCGTCACAACATCGTCATCAGCCATGGTTAATCGACTGTTGGACAAAGGTTAGGTTTGCCTAAGGTGCCACCATATTTTGTGATCCTGCAATGTAACTGATGACAGTTGTAATTATTCTTACAATACCTTTAAATTGGGATTTTTGGCATATTAAATTAACGAGTGTTTGGCGAGTGGGAGAAAACTCGATTAATCAGAGAAAATCCACGCATATGAGCGGTAACACTCAAAAGCTTTGCAGAGATGGATGGATAAAAATATATTTGTTGTACTGCCAAAACCTGGTCACCTTATTTGGGAATTTCACAATCTGCGGGATCCATCAGACTTTGCCTCCACAGCACTGGATGATGATAAGCATGAACCACCGTGCACGGCTCAAATGATCCCAACAAAATAAATACATTTCAGTCGTCATAATGCACCACGGTTTTGAATTTAGTTAAATGTACTCACGGTGTTCTGTGGCTCCAGCTTCACAGACTGCTTGGGATTTTCCCCTTTCTGGTCACAGCACGAGTCTCCGGAATCTTCCCCTTTCTCCTGCTTGGTTTTAACGTCTCCTAATTCATCTTGCTGCTGATGCAGCGGGCTCGAAAACTTGCCGGGCATCTCCTTCTCCTCCTTGTCGAGGAGCGAGCGCAGCAGGGCGTGGTCTCTCTCCTGCTTCCTCTGGGGACTCAGCGAGCCGTCCTGCTTCAGGCCGCCCGCTGCCTCCCTGGTGCCGGTGAGCAGGGATGAGGCGGAGCAGGGGCGGCCCGTCAGCTTACTGAGGTCCGGCGGGGAGCCGCCGTCCTGCAGCAGCTTGTGCAGGATTTTGTGTCGCTCTGTGAGCGAGGCCGCGTGGGCCGAGTTCATTGCGGACGCCGACGAAGGCGACGTCGCGGAACCAGAGCCCGACCCGGACAAAACGCGGCCATCGCCGCTCCGAACGGACTCCAACGACAAGTGGCCCTGGCCGATGCAGTGACCATTCTGCTCCGCACCGATGGTCAGCAGCTGCATGAGCTTGGTCTGCGTTTGGTTTTTGTCTGCGTCGTCCTCCCCTTGCTGCTCACCATCACGGCCGCCCATCAGCCGCGCGTCGGGGATGCACTCCCTGCCGCCCTGCGACACCTGCGCCTCCTTGGTGTCTGCCTCGTCAATCCTCTCCTGCTTGATCTGGTAACCCTGCAGGCCCACGAGAGCCCTCTGGGCGTTCGGAGGCAACGTGAACCTCTGGCTGCCCGCTTGCTGCGACGCCGCCGCACCCAGGCCGGGCGACACCGTCCTCTGGCCGGGCGATGCGTTTGGGCCGGGCGTCGGGTTATTGTTCTGGCCGGCCGCTGAGACCGGCGCGCCCGGCACTTGCACGCCGAACGAGGGCGTGGGGTCCATGGGGGAGCTCTGAGAGCTGTATCCGCTGCTGGTGTTGTTGTAGCTGCCGCTGGTCCCGCAGGGCGATGGCGTCGAGTTGCCCCCGCGCGTGGGAGAGAAAGGCACCACCTTGGGGCTGCCCTGGTGCAGCTGCGAGCGCGGCGACCGAGAAAAGTCTGGCTGGCACGAGGCCGCCACGGCCCCGGGGCTCGTTCTTGCCGGGCTGCTCAGGTTCGCACCAAAGCTGTTGCCTGGGCACTGGCCCAACGGGGTGGAGAACGGCCCGGGTGGCCCAGAGGGATTGCCGGCACACATTCGCCAGCCGGGCAGCGGCTGCTGTTGCTGCTGATGATGCTGGTGATCAGGGACTCCGCCCTTGTTGTTGCTGTTGTTGTCCAAACAGCCCGGGTGGCCCTGCATTTCGCCCGCATGCTGGTGTGGGCCGCCAAGGCCACTGAAGGCAGCCATGCCGGTAGCCGATGCCGTGGGGCCAAGGTTCTGTGGGGGCGCTCCTACCCCCATGGGTCTCGGCATACCCATACCTGGGGGCTTTGACAGGTACGGGCCCCTGGAAATAAATCACAAGAATTGTCGTCATCAGTTTCATCGTCATCTGCCATGATCAATAATCCACTGCTAAAGGCCTTAAACATTTCACAGAGCAGAAATGGTCCGCACAGTCACGTCAAGAGTGTATTCAATCACCCGCATTGCGGAGCGTTGGAATAGAGTGAAACAGTTTTGCAGGTGCGGTGGTGACTCCAACCCCCACATGAATCACAGTGTGTGTCAGTCATGGGGGTTATTTGACCATGTCTCAAACATGCTGGTTGTTGCGGGTGAGGGGCCGGACCTGTTCAGATATCAATCGCCACTGATGTTAGTCATAGCGAAGGAATCGAACTCGGGTCACCGGGTTCACAGCGCTGTACTTCCGCTCTTGAGCTATGCACTTTTAAATCACATAGACATAAACCACTTTTGGTGCGATTGGCTACGTATGGTGTGAAATAATTAGTTCAATATACATACATACAACCAAGCCGGACAGTACGTGCGTGCTATCAAACTGGTTCGACAATCACGCGAGACAGACAAGGGTGACGCGTCAATTGCGGAGGTCACCTGAAGACGGTGTACATGGAACTGATCTGCGCGGCGCTGGAGCCCTGCACCTGGTAGACACGGCTCTTGGTTTGCACGGCCACCACCGTGCTGTCCTGCATGCGGAACCTGTACGTGGGACTCTGGGCGCAGCCCTTGAGTGTGACTGCGGCGAAAATGGACATCAAAAAGCAGACGGTGAACCACACGCTCGCGCGCGTACGCACAGCGGCGCTACCGAGCCACAACCCCCAGTCAGGTACTCAAGCCAGACAAAACGTGCTCCCCCTTCACCAAGCGCACACTGACCAGCGCGGCGAGGTATGCTCCGGCAATACCCCAAAGTCTCCCATCTATGGCCGACAGCCCCCAGTCTCCGGCCAGTAGCTATGGAGCCACGAGCCAGTCGGTGTCAGCTGGTTTGGTGAAGGAGTGGGGGGGGGGTGCCAAGACTAAGAACGACTTGGTAGGAACAGGATCACGGTCTGGTTCTGACCATCGCTACATACAACACTTGGCGTACTCTGCCGGGGCACTACCAGGAGGACTCCCGAGCCATCGCAACACGCGTAAGCATGCAATGGTCATGCGTGAGAACAAACAAAATACGTTGGGGGGAAAAAGAAAATCTCATGAGCGCGAATTAAAAAAAGCGGGAAGAGTGCACAGCGAGGAGCTAACCTTCACGGTGGTGGCTGGCCGCGTGCGACATTCCGTTCTCCTGCGGCTGGTGGAACGCCTGGATGCACCTCCTCACCAGGTCCTCGCTGCGCGGACGCATCGAGGCGCGCAGGCTTGTCATGTCGATGGCCACTATCTTGCCTGGGGGACAGAGGCACGGCCACTCAGCATGCAAAACACACCACAAAAGCTGCCTCGCTCTCCCTGCCCGCATTTCCCTCCGACCTTCCCTGCTTCCGACATTCCCTGCATACCTATTTCTGCTTCCTCCACCTCCCTGCTTTCTACTGTTCTCTCACCATAGCTATCGTTATACTACCCTCCCTCTGCATATCTTACCTTTCCTATACTTTGCACTCCCAATCGTGTTTTAAATATTGCAATTATAATTACAACCCTTGATTCACCTCCCTCCCTCCCACATTCCCCTCCCTCCCTCTAATCTATTCGCATATTCTACATCCCTTTTCTTCCTCCTACATTCCCTTCCTCCCTCTATCTTATGTTCTGTCCGAACCTAACACCCTATGTTCCTCCCTGCCTCCCTATGCCTACCCTCCTACATTACCTCCCTCCCCATCCCTCTCCCTCCTGATTGATCCGGGCTTCCGTTGGTCGCTTGTTTATCTACTTATCCATTTAGTAATTATTCATGAATTTATTTGCTTTGAATGTGGTTACTTGTTATTTATTAAGATATATTGATGTTTATCCATTTAATTATGCATATACACATTTATAAACAGAGTTATTCTACCTTGGAGAAATGTAACTATTTCATCAGTTAGCTATACAACTTCAGATGTAAAGTAAGTAATGTATATAATTAGAAATATTTAAACACATCGATTGCTAATCTCTCCCCCTGTTCCATTAACCTTTCCTCTATTTTATTTGATCATGGCCCGGGAATAACGTGGAATCTGTTTATTTACCTGTATATTTCTGTCCATTATTGTCGTTGAAAAGTGGAAATAAAATATAAACACATCAAATTGATGGATGAAAGCATTTTGGTATAAAAAAAAATCCCACTTCAGGATGTGATGACTGCAGATTCTTTGGGTAGACTTGTGAAGAAGAGTTTACATCAAGGCACCAATTTAACTAGCCTCTGGGGTAATAAAAATGTTCCAAAATTAATTAAAATCTGGATTGTGACATCTCATCTCAGGGATACATAAATAATAAAAATGTTGTTTATAAGCAATTAATCCTCACGAGCAGGAAAAAAAAAACCATTAAAGACATGTCTGTAGACATGCCTTCCTCACAAACAGCACTCATCTTAGAGTCCCCTGGGACTCGCCGGCGATCGGGCCTCGGACCCCGAGCACCCCCCCCCCCACCCCAAGACTGCCCTGGTACTTGGGTGAATGGGACCTCGCCTCCCGAGGCTGCCCTGGGACTTGTCAGTGCTGCCCCGTGTGGCACTCATTGGTCCTGGGGCTGTGTCCCACAGTGTTGCTCGCTCTCCGCTCGCCCGTGTTTCCCTGCTCAACACTGCCACCCCCCCCCCCCCCGGCTTCTTCCAGCCAGCCAGCCAGCCCCTGACATCTACCCAAATTGTAGTCCCTCATTTATGCATCGTCTTGCGATTGTGGGCGCAATTCGTCGTTATGTTAATTGAAATTCTTGTTGCGGATTGGGCCCCAGCCAGTGCACCTTATACAGATGTAGCGCAAGCGGCCATTTGGAAACATCATGAATTAACAATCGGCACACCGAGTGCCGAGAGCTGTTTAATCCCTCAACGTGCATCAACTCGCATTTCCCTACCACCACCCTCCCCTGCAGTCAAAAGTACTTAGCGGCTTCATTTTTCATGATGTGAAGATTATTGCGATATCAGTTTTCCAGTAACTCTGCCGTTTAGCTTTGCATTTTTATTGTACTGCTTTTATTTTTTGCTGTACTCCCAGTGCAGGTAAATTACCTAAAAGTTATTCTACTGAAGTTCGCCCAACAAGATAATTCTAATCATTGCAGCATTCCAATCTGTCATGATTTTAACCCATATGCTGTCAATGACACAATACTCAATTAAATTGAAGCGTTCAAAAAATTACAGTCAACAACTGTTGAGCATGCAATGATTCTGCAGAATGTAAAGCAGCAATTTAATAGGCAATAGCTGATTGTTTATAACTTTAACTATTGTGTTTGTTATTACGTACATATTCCGCCATAAAATATATATTTATTATTATTAAATGCGCAACAATAAACCAACATCACGATAGCTTACAAAACGGCCAATACGACGACAGTGGATCTTATATCATATGATACGTCGTAGCAAAAAATGTACCTATGCATGCTGAACTTGTTTCGCATGGTACGTAGCTAACCGTACTAATCGGAGGTGCATGGAAGAACAACATCACCGTATCGCCACAACCCGAATATTTGGTTGCAAGGCAAGGGGGGTGTACGGTGGGGGGGTGTGAGGTGGGGGGTGGGGGGGGCAGCACCACTCCTCACCGCTCATGTCCTGTCTGGTGTAGAACTGTTCGAAAGGACGCTCTGGAGCCGGCGCTCGACGCGCCACGCAGATCAGGCACGACTGCAGCTCTGCAGGCACAAGGTGGTCGAGGGGTGGGATGGGGGGTCGCGTGCGTGAGTAGGAGGACATCGCGTGCGTGAGTAGGAGGACACCGCGCATCATTTCAACCTCGGGCGCGCTGTTTGCCCCCGCCTCCCCCAACCGCCTAGCTCGGAAAGCAGCAACCCATCATACCGAAACAACCCGGAAAGCAGCAACCCATACCATCGCATATGCACCGTTACCAATTGATCGTCCATACATAGTGTGGTATTTGTGCGTGGTTCATGTGCACATATCCAATCATTTTGCAAATCCGCTTTGCCTCAGTCCTCAGCGAGTTGGAGATGCGACGTTGTACAGTACAGGCAAAAAGTGAATTAGAGTTAAAAAAAGTGCAATCGAGAGCATTGGTTTGGTCCTCCCACCATGCCTTTGTGTGTCATCACCATACAGCCTCGTTTAATACCACCAACAGTCAAGATTAAATATTCTACAAAACCTCCTTTTGGCGCATATTAACACCCTTGTTTGCAGTCTCAACGCATTTTTCTGTCTGGTGAGTTTCTCATCATTTGGAAGAAAAAAAAGTGTTACCATATTCTCCGGATTATTAGAATGCTCTGGAAGAGTGAGACGCACCACAACCGTGTGCCCGGTGTCAATAAAGTTGTACATAGAGATCGAACGCATGCGCAGACCTAATGCATTGTAAGACGCATTCCCACCCTGGCCCAACTTTTTCTTTAAAAAAAAACACATGGGGCAGGGCAGGGGGGGAGCGCACCTTATAATCCGGAGAATAAGGTACACATTAAGTTTAGCGTCGAGGTCAAAGGTGGCGTGTCAATGCGGAGGGAAGGCTGTGTTAAGCGAGAGCTGATGAAATGCAGGGCGATGGGCAGGAAACGACGGAAATCCACGTGTATCTAACATGTGACAACAAGGCATGGCGAACCGTACGCGGGCTCCCTTCAGCGTTAACTCGTGTTTACCGCCATCGCGCTCTCCAGGTCGGGCGAATGCCACAAGCGCAAGGACATGAGGACTACGAGAATGTACATCGGCAGCGGCTCTTGTCTAAATAGCTAAACGTGCGAGTTGGACACACTCTATATATAAGATAGTGAAAACAACACGGATCTTTATTTGAGACAAAAACATCTGTCTGCTACGAAGGAGGGCCATTGCCTGAAACATCACCTATTATTTAATACTTTTTCTTTTAGGGTCGTATTAGCGAGGTACGTGCCCGAGTGCTTGCGCACCACTGCCATCGCAGTATCACAATGTTTTGCTTGTTTAATTTAGACAGTACGACTACAACAAGGACAAATGCAACTTTCATGGCTGACCTGCAGCATTCCGTAATGGTAAATCCCACTGCAATATTTACACAAATAAGCAACCAGGGGTGGCACTACAACTACAAAAGAATAACGGACGGCTAACAAAACACGCGCGCCCGCAAATGTCGAGCGAGCCGACGCGCACAAACGCACGCGTATGGATCCTACAAAGGGGTTAAGACGATGGCACTCCATTAAAGCAGCAATTATTCCACATGACTTGAAGCGCGTCTGGATTATAATGCGTGTCCTTGCAACGCTGCTGGGAGTCAGGCGATGTTGACCGCTGCCACTCACCCTCTCCCTCCTCCTGCATGGCGTGCGGCTGGGACACGGCGAAGCACTGCATCATCTCGTAGTGGCTCTCGGAGCCGGCGGCCCCAGCGACGCTGGCGCATGGCCGCACCATCATGCGGCAGTTGAACGTGCGGCTGCTGCGGCGCGAGACCGAGTCGCACGGCCAGGGCACCCCGTTCGCTGTACAACAACGGTCCAAAGACACAAGTGGAGGAATCGTGTTACCGAGCTCTGAAGGGGAAAGTTGCAAGCCTGCGATTGCCCACTCACGCCACTGCTGGCAGAAGGGCCTCCCCGCTACAGGGAGCTCTTGGGAGACTCGCTAGAAGAGTGGTCCCCAAACTTTATGGAACCGCAGAGCACCGTCAACCCTGAAACTTTTTTTTCGCAGACCGCGGAACACCAGTCTATCCATAGAGCACCCACTTAACGCCCCTCAATGTGGTACTGAATCCAACTCGTCGGCGATGATTCGCTGATTGGAACCCAGACGAAGATTTCAACCCTACACCCATTTTATCTTGAGTTGTTACGCTTTACCATGACACTTTGTACAATCTGTACAATGCAAACATCCCTTCGGGTTGTTTGACCATACTTCACCATGCTGGCCAATGTGGATTGGTGACGGGTGGGGGAGGAGGAGAAGGAACCCCCCCTCCCCCCCCAGGAACTAGTTCAGATATCACTCGCCACTATGCCAGTTTCCCCCCCCCCCCCCCCCCCCCCGAGCGCTCACCTTGAGACTTAGGCAGGGAGCGCACAAACTCCGCATGGTCGCCCACGTGGAGGACGTTGAAGACCACCTTGTTCATCAGCTCCTCCTGGGTGAAGCCCAGGTAGTTCTGAACGTTCTCCGACACGAAGGCGATCAGCCCCTCCGGATCCACCACGAAAAAGAAGGCGTCCAGTGCCTGCCGGGAGCGGGACAGCGGTCACACGTTCGAGGTCAAGGTGCAGCCCTGTAATTTCTTGCTAATACCGCTGCCGGCCGAAGGGCCTCCTCCTCCCCAGAAGCAGCTACAGAGAACACTCTTGGAGAGGGCCCCTCTATAGTGTCCATCTAGAGAGAGCTTTAGAGAGCACCTCTAGAAGGCATTTTGGCCTACTCTTCCATGTCAGCCATATGTTATGGAAGAGGTGGGAGTACCCATGCTTTACCCCAAAATCTGCGAAGTGACTAACTGTGGTGTACCCCATCTTTACTGCTGGATGGACAGAGGGACAGGGATTTAAGAAAGCTGCATTCTTGTTTCAACTTCCGTGACAGGAGAGCGAACCAGCGACCTCTTGGATTGCGCGTCCAGTGTGCGGCTAAACATTACACAACGGCAGCTCGCCACGGATTAAACACGTACTGTAAAACCTAGCTTTAACGTCTTTCAGATTAAGATACCTTCTGGAATGTTAGGCTTTGGCTTATTGAAAGAAGGCAACATCATTGTTTAATGTAATTTTTCATTACAAAGTTGTAAAATACAAGGGCGTCTACACATATGTTGTCACGAGACCTCAAGGTACTGTGCATATATCCATTCTCGTGCTGCGTTGCTGCTGCTGCACGTGCAAGAGCAACTGCTTTGTCACAATAATAATGTAACATATTTCATGCAAACGCATCTCAGAACGCTGCAGAATCTCACACGCACAGCTTTCGCATTGGAGGCGCGGGGTAAACCACAGGCAAGATTGAAGGCAGCCAAAACCGGCGCTAACAATTGCCCAAGCTCTGTGGTCCTATGCAGTTTGTTCTCCTATAATGCAGCCATTGCGCACTATGTAAAAATCGATTTACACTAAATACTGTCATATAGGGTAAAGCACAATCCGCGATAGCACGTGAGATGCGTATGCAGGCTGAACAAAGACTGATGCAGGTGGGTAGCAGCCGTACAAGTGCTTATTCCTACTCGCGCGACGTAGTTCCGTTCACTCAATCGCGTTATATGCGATTCCCATCCGCGTAATGATAAAAATGTGTTCCCAAATACATTAACCGCGTTATATACAATTTGCGTTATGAACAGCACACACGCAATAGCAGAACAGACTGTACTGGGAAGTGTGGCCAATCCCCATATTTATACATATATTCCCCTCCCCTCCCTATAAATTGAAGCTTAAGTGGTGGCCGCTCACCTTAAGGAGCAGAGGACCCAGGGCCTCCTTTTCAATGACGCTCTGGCCACTGGAGGACACGTCAGACTGCTGGACGTCACCGTGGAAGGCAGCATTTTTCTCTGAAAACATAAATGCGAACACATAAAAATGTGAGTGGCTATGTCTGACGCAACTTGCCCGCGTGTATTTGGTTATTTGTGATATTTGCTATTTAAGATCCTAATACACACAATAAATGCGTGGATTTATGTAATTTATCAAATATTTTAAGCAATGCAGAAGCTATCCTGTAATTTCACCACTGTATAAACAGATTTTTGTTTTATCCTGGCACTGTGTTAAAAAAACATGGAATCTGTTTAAATAACTAAATGTTTATATTCTTAGTTTTTTCGGTAAAGTCACGTTGAAGAGAAACAACAAAATAACAAAATATATATAAAACAATAAAAAATTCTCACGACGTTTCGACCATAACTCAAACGGTCATCATCAGGTGTGTCGGTTTGCATAAATTTATTTTGAAAACGGCATATTTATTTATATATATAAAAATAACGTTTGCGTCACGCGCAACGATGGCAGTTTGCCAGGACTAGTCCATCTATTTTTTGAAAAGAGGAGGGGGGAGACGAAATTTGTTTTTATGTATGCTGTCTGAAAGGCACTGTAAGCGTGAACAATCAATCAAGAACTGAAATGATTTATCAAATCTTTCCAATGATTGCTAAGATAGAATCCATCTTCTCGGTTGAAATTGTCTCTGTGTTTGTATATGTGGATAGCCTCATGAACGAATCTCTCATGGAAGCCAGATGGCTTACAAAGAACCTCCGTCTTGGAAAAGTCAATGGCATGTGAGCCTACTGAATTAGAACAATGATCTGCTACGGCCGAGGTGTTGGTCCTACCGTGTTTAAGGTCTGCTTTATGTTCACGAATGCGGTCCGAGATATGGCGTTTGGTTTCTCCAATGTAACTACTACCACAGAGGCAACTTAGTTTGTAGACACCAGGGTATTGTATGTCCGGAATCACATCTTTTACAGACGGAACCAGATCACGGATTTTATGTAATGTGTTGAAACGGACCTGGATCTTGTGTTTATTCAAGATTTTGGAGATCTTTTTTGTGATCCCAGCAATGTAGGGTAAAGTGATGGTTTTGAAAGGCTCCTCAAGAGGGTTCTTCTTCATGGTTTGAGTGATAGCTTTGCGGATTGTATAGTCGGAGTAACCATTAGCCCTAAGAGCTTGGTGTACGTGCTTGAGTTCACTGCTTATGTGTTCCTGGTCGGATATGCATTGGGCTCTATGATACAGAGTCTTGATGAGAGAATTCTTCTGTGATGGATGGTGGTGGGAATCCGGTTTCAGATAAGCATCCGTATGGGTAGCTTTCCTGTAGACAGAGTGGCTCATTGAACCATCAGGTCTCTTTTTAATTAGGACATCCAAAAAAGGTATCTTGCCATCTATTTCGACTTCCATCACAGAAGAATTCTCTCATCAAGACTCTGTATCATAGAGCCCAATGCATATCCGACCAGGAACACATAAGCAGTGAACTCAAGCACGTACACCAAGCTCTTAGGGCTAATGGTTACTCCGACTATACAATCCGCAAAGCTATCACTCAAACCATGAAGAAGAACCCTCTTGAGGAGCCTTTCAAAACCATCACTTTACCCTACATTGCTGGGATCACAAAAAAGATCTCCAAAATCTTGAATAAACACAAGATCCAGGTCCGTTTCAACACATTACATAAAATCCGTGATCTGGTTCCGTCTGTAAAAGATGTGATTCCGGACATACAATACCCTGGTGTCTACAAACTAAGTTGCCTCTGTGGTAGTAGTTACATTGGAGAAACCAAACGCCATATCTCGGACCGCATTCGTGAACATAAAGCAGACCTTAAACACGGTAGGACCAACACCTCGGCCGTAGCAGATCATTGTTCTAATTCAGTAGGCTCACATGCCATTGACTTTTCCAAGACGGAGGTTCTTTGTAAGCCATCTGGCTTCCATGAGAGATTCGTTCATGAGGCTATCCACATATACAAACACAGAGACAATTTCAACCGAGAAGATGGATTCTATCTTAGCAATCATTGGAAAGATTTGATAAATCATTTCAGTTCTTGATTGATTGTTCACGCTTACAGTGCCTTTCAGACAGCATACATAAAAACAAATTTCGTCTCCCCCCTCCTCTTTTCAAAAAATAGATGGACTAGTCCTGGCAAACTGCCATCGTTGCGCGTGACGCAAACGTTATTTTTATATATATAAATAAATATGCCGTTTTCAAAATAAATTTATGCAAACCGACACACCTGATGATGACCGTTTGAGTTATGGTCGAAACGTCGTGAGAATTTTTTATTGTTTTATATATATTTTGTTATTTTGTTGTTTCTCTTCAACGTGACTTTACCGAAAAAACTAAGAATATGAATTACTGCAGTCACGAAAGCTTTAAATCAAAACTAAATGTTTGTTCAATTTCTACAACAATTAGCAAACCAAATACCTTCACATACACAACAGTAACACAGTTCTGCATTACTTGTGAAGTTCGCTATTTCAGATCCTGAGACGCGGCATACTTGTGCATTGTGCGTTATTTAAAATGTGCAACTTAGCAAAAACGTGAAAAATTACCGCAGAACATGTACAATCAACGTAACACCCAGGAAATGGGTGTACGTTGATTATACATGCTCTCGGACGTGACAGTAAAACAAAACTCATACTTCTCACATAACCCGACTGGAAGTCAATAACATACAGCAAATAAAGGTGCAGCCCTGCAACTACTTGCTCATGTCACTGCTGGCAAAACAGCCTCAACTAGAGGGAGCTATGGAGAGCACTTCTGGAGGCTAAAACAAGCTATGAAATAACTATAAAAATGACAACCGTTTACAGCCCTTTGTCAAACAACTACTGGATGAAGGCCTCCACATTTCGTGTCAGTCACGTGGGAGTTTGACAATATTTCACCACCCAGGGCAGTGTGAGATGGCGAAGGTGGGGGAGTCGGGGTGGGGGGTTGGGGAGGCCCACCCCCAGCAAGCCAGCTCACAAATCACATGGGTTACAATCGTACTCAGGTCGCCCAGTTCGTAGTGCAGCACTAATCGCTGTGCCATTGCTCGACCCATTAAAAATAATTTAGGGAACAAACGCCAGATTATGTAAGATTGTGCCTCCAGCAATGTCAGATTCAACATGGATGAGCACAGTGCGCGGCACAGAAAGCCACAGATTAATTACCAACTGGGAAAGGCAGCCACCGCAACCAGCCACCGGAAAACGGCAATTTGGCCAAGGAACTGGTGGTGGCATCAAATTAGACCGTTGCCTTTCATAAACAACATGACGATTCAAAGCTTCAACCGCTATGTCCACCAGCATCTGGTTTGCAAGCGGTTCAATTATTATTATTAATAATATTATTTACGATTCGTTTTACGCAATAGGCCCATTTTTTTTCATCTGCTGAACGGAATATTTGCCGAGGCGCTCCGCAGGTGCCAGTCCCTGAAAGCGAGAGTTTGTTGTCCCTCTTGCACCTTCGGTGGCAAAACACATTCGAGGGCGGTTCATTAACGAAGAAAACCAACGTGGCGGCACAAATCAAACAAAATAACGAGAAGGAACGCTCGATGCCAAAACATCGACCAGTGCCCGCCCGCAAGTACTGCATAGCGCCGCCGTCCCTTTGACGTCAGAAAATGTCACGGCAACACCGTTACATAATCAGCTTTTAATAATTCACGATGGCTTCTTCAGCTTAAAATACAACCTTTAGAACACCGCTTTGTTCTTGATGGGGGATATTATTTTTTTTTACTATTATTTTTCTTGTTTTTGTCTTTAACTTTAATTGTTTATTTTCTTCCCACTGCGATAGTAAGTTATATATGGCTTGTGAAGAGGTCAACAGTGTTTCCCCTACACAAAGATGTAGCCAAAAGACGTCATTTTCATAAACAATTATTTCGGTTTTTTTTCCCACTGCCAAGATGACACATTTTACTAAAACACCTCCCATATTTTTTCTATAGGTAGAATAGCTACCAACAGTGGTGTGCTTTCTCACACCCATCACACCACTGCTGGAGGAAGGGCCTCCAATAGAGAGACCTCTAGAGAGGCCATCGCGAGGGTACTTTTCCTCCTCTTCCATGCTGGCCAAATGTTTTGGAAGAGAGTCTCGACCCACAAATGACTCGCCCCACACGGACATGCCGATCGACGAACTGTGGCATATCCATTTATACCGCCGGGTGAACCAAAGTCAGCGTGCTAACCATTACACCAAGGAAGCATCACCTACTGTGTTTACCATGAAACTCTCATCTGATATCTCATTTACTATGGTCATAAGTGCTCGTACTTTCCTTGAAGGTGATCAAGGTGGCGGCACCACGCGTGCAGTGGCATGCCCGAGAGAGAGAGACAGACAGAGAGCACTCGCACTGTGCAAGTCACAAAAACGGTCTCATGAAGAAAGCAGAGTTCAGCTGCCGGGATGAGATTGTTCATGGTGCACGTGACATGACCAGCTAGCTCCATCATGGGGTTCTAGGGGGTTCACATACTTCATGGCAGGATGTAGCGAAGCCACAACCGTTATTTGTATCATGCGAGAAATCGTCAAGCCTTAAGCAACCCATTTTACTAGAGCGAACGACAAATTCGGAGGCGCTTGCCATCAGCCTCCTGCTGTCGCTGGGATGTCCACATGAGTGTACCAATACGATTACTGTGAAATACATTTGTAAGCTTCTATATGATACATAAATTTTCACGCAAATATTTCACACTACACGGCGGCTGTCGACGTGCCCTATTCTGTACAGCATCAACCCTGCTTCGTGCCCAAGATTTATGGAATGACCCCACTCTTTATGGACCTCCCCACACCTCCGATTAGCGCGGATGGCTATGTACTGTGCAAAAGAAGTTCAAAATACATAAGACCTTGAATGTATGTATTATAGTATCCCCATATTGCGATGGCCTAGCAGCTACATGGCCGTGCAGTAGCATCTTTGTCACTTGCTGCGTCACTTGTTGGGTCCGGCCACCACCCTGATTAATACTTAACCAAAAAGTATGCACCTTCTGCCGTGTTTGGCGCATCACGCTTAAAACACCAGCCAAAATTTGGTAAATGACTCAGAAATGGCCTAAAAATGTTTAAACCGCATACAAACATCACCCACTGAGAAGTTACCGCAGATGACTTTGAAATGTAGCGCTTTCGCTATCGCATTATGCTGTAACAGCGACGCAAAATAGCACGTGTACTGCTCATGGAGGATTTGATTTGATCACGGGCCACCCTACTATGTACCAACTCCTCCCCCGCGTTGCCGAGCGGTCGCCGCGAGCCGCGACATACCTTGCTCGCGTTGCTTGATTTGCCGGATCTGGCTGACGGTCTCGCGCAGGACGGCGCACGAGTCCGGCTTCACTCCCAGCCCGTCGATGTCACCCATGTTGGCCGAGATGAGCTCTGCGAGCTCCTCGATGTAGCGGCTCGTCTGCTCGCGTCGACGCTTTTCCGCGGGCCATCCCAGCCTGTTGCCACCCACACAGCGGAGCCACACACACACACGCAACGTACCGTCCGTACTGCGATCAGCCACCGTCCAGTAACCTCCCAATACTGGGACATGGCCTGCCCCGATTTTCTTGCATTTCTTCCTCTCCCCAGTTATCCACATCCAATAGTGGCCTCGGAACGCTCTGATTTTGTCTGCTTCTGTTACTTTGGCCTTCTCTAGATATGCACTCCATAGTCAATTTTGGCAGGACTGGCAACCCTTAGTTTGAGAGCATTACAACAAGTTAATTGCAAAGGACATGCATTATTCTAAGCCGAAGCCTAGATCACTTATATTAACCAAAGGCTGTTTTTTTTTTTACGAATCAAAAATAAATGCCATCAGACACTGCACACGCTTAAGTGTCTTGTATATACTTCTTTGGATTACCAAGAAGTGCCGTTATCAAGCACTAGGTAAACACCTATTGTGAGTGGATGGTAGAACAAACAGCAACTCTCCAAAACAAACTGAAACTCACTCCCATCTAGAGATACTCAACATGACCCCAACGATTTTCCTTGGAAAACTTAAAACACACGTATCATGTGACATAGTTCTGCTTTTAAAAACGAACATCACCTTTGACATTTACCCTTTCTGCGTACAATATCGAACTACTGTCAGCCGCATATACAAAAGGGAAAGGAGGGCAGTGTCACGATCTCTTTCCATCAGAAATTATTTTATACAATCACAAGTTTTATGCAAACAATATCCCATGCCATAGCTTACTCGTCAAGTCAGGAGCGGTAGCGCAGCGATCAGCGTGCTGCGCCAAGAACCCGGCGACCTAAGTTTGCTTCCTGCTCACGGCCAAGATCAGTGACGATAATCCGAACCAATCATGGGCTTCTCCTAGGTCGACCCGGCCCCAAATAAGTACCTGGTGTGATGTGTAAAGATTAGCACTGGCGAGACAAAGGTGGCCGAGTGGTATTGGCCACACGCCGTGCCGGCCTTCATAAGCGCAAGCTAACAGCACTTGCCCCAACAGTCTGCTAACGTCTACATGGGGGATCTTTGTCTTTTTGTGGTTAGTTGAACATTAAACATATATCCTATACAATGGGAATTATTTTGCTGGCTCATAATGAGATATGCAGGCCATTTAGTAACAGCCACGGTGTTCAATGTGTCAAGAAAAGAGACCTCTCTTCTTATAGTGCAAGGAATCAAAAATGTCAATGTCAAACGACACTGGCTAACCCAAGGTGCTAAGCAATATACACGTTAAAACACAACAATTAATTTCATTTACACAAGAAAGCTTCAACAAGTTGCAATATTATTTTAAAGAAGAATCCTTCATTTAGACGTTTGGCCTATTCCATTAATGCGTGGCCTACTCTGCCCGAGACAACGACCACAATGGAGATGGGAGCGATGAGATCAACTCTTGTGCTGCAACGAGACGGACGGAAGCAGCACTGCACAGTGGGGGCATGGCGACGGCATGCAAAGGCCTTCGTACACAACAGTACGTCGGCAACGGCTTGATGATGATCATGAGTGGCCCTTACATGTGCTCTTGCGGCGAGGACGAGGAGCCTTTGCGTTTGCGCGAATCCCCAGTGGGAGGCTCCGACGAGCCGTCCCCGAGGCCACTCATGTCTCCGCGGTGCTCACCACCTGAACACACACCACAACAGGTCACACCACTTTCAGAGAGTCATCCGCGAGCACCTCTTTTTCCACCACACAACCAAGCCACGCCAGGGCCGTGCCGAGCCAGCCCCCGGAGCGGCTCAAGAGGGACAGCGCCATTTTTGTCCACTGCAGTGACCTGAGCCCTGCCGCCGCCGCCGCCAACGTCACACATGACGAACGGGTCTCTTTTAACGAAAACGATTGGACCCGCTCCTGACTCCTGCTTGGCTCCCCGAGCAGATTCAGATGTCTCGTGAGACTACAGTTTGAGATTGGTTCTGGCGCAGCTCAGCGAGTAGCCAAATGGCAAAACCACTGGTTACTAAGAGGGCCTCCTCCTCTTGATGGCACGGCTCAGATATGCCAGTGGAAGAGGCGTAAAGGAGACCTCCGAGGCCCAGGTCGAGTGCCATCGGACAAGGCCGTCTAAGGTGTTGCTCGGCAGACATCGTCTGCCACGTGCCGCTGTCAGTCGGGACAAGTGGAGCAAATCAGATTGCACAATCGTCTGTGTACTCAGAGGCTTTAATTAAGCAGCAAAAGAGGATAGCTCCCTTGAGCAATGGCAGTGGCAATTGTCATTTTTTAAACAAGTATGCTTTGTTTTAAAGCTCTGAACTTTGCTGGAGGTTCAGTGTGTTTTTTTATAACACGTGTAGAAAGTAGAAGTAAGCATTTAACAACAAACAACTCACATTCGTCAATAAGTGTCTGAACAGGAAATGTGCTCTGAAGAGTCATTGGCTGAAACATCGCCCTATTTTTTTTTACTTTAAAGGCAATGCTAATGATGCATGTATTGAGTTTTAAAATTGTCCTTGTGCACGACTGTCAACAGAGGACGACCAAATAATTTGTTTAATAAAGTGTTTCAGTAGGAAAAGGTACAATTTAAGAAACTCACACATTGTTTCAACTCCATTCAGGGAGATCGAACGGAACTGGCAAACTGCAGATTGGCAAGTCCAGTGTGCTAACCCAATGCACCACGGCAGCATCCCAGGTGTTTTAATACAGCAGTGGAATTACCATGGCTGTACTGATACACCCACACGAGCTAGAGATTTGATGAATTGTCAGGATTATTTTTTTACATTGTGGCGAATGCAGGAGCCAAACAAATGTACCGATTTAATAATTGAAAAACACTGGCTTCCCTCCTGACATGAGCGATTCATAAATATTCACTCGTCAACTGATGCATCATCGCGCCGCTCGCAATTAGTCATGTGCAAATGCAAAGCTTAGTTTATTAAATGAGCGGGTAGTCAAAACATCTTGGAAGCGGAGGAGCATAAACCATTTAAACTCGTGGCACTCCACGGGAGAGTCGAGGATGTAATGCATGGGAACATGGTAAAGGAATTGGAGATGGGAGAGAGAAAGAGTGGGAAAAGGAATTGGGAAACGGGAGCAAAGGGGGTCAGGGAGAGATTAGGATGAGGAAGAGGAAAGTTAAAAAGGCCTCGAGACGCTGCTGCACGGAGCGGCGTCTGTTTTCACGGAGGGCGGCAGCGAGAGGGGGAAGGATTCAGAGTGGGTGTGGTCACAGAAGTCACGTAATTCATACAAGGCTCAGGCTGATTTACGTTAGAGATAATCACACTTGATATTTACATTTTCAATAAAACCCAAATGATCTGTGAACTTGTTATGACATGAGTTCACAAAGACCTAACTTCTTAAATTAAACTTTTTTTTCTCAAAACAACCCCCCCTCCCCCGAGGGAAGTTTGCTCAACACACAAACATATCAGGATCCGTTTCACAACATGCAAGACATTTTACAATTGCGCTCCATCAGCCGACTGAACTAATATTTTAATTTTCAGCAGCAATCTGTTTAAACAGACAAAACTATTAAACCAGTGTTGAATTTTACGAGTCTGATGAGCAGTGTGGCCCTGGCAGGCATTTTTTTTGTAATACTGTACTACAAACGCCAAGTGTCTCAACATATTCTTCTGACATTCAACATTTTAACCAATGGCATTTCATCAACGCACAAAGCCTCAGTCACCATGGATTACAACTACTGCGATTAAGCGCCAGAACACATGCACCTTAACCACCAACAACAACAAAAGGACACCTACAAAATAAGTAAATTCCCTAAACTAAAGAATTCATGCAAATTGTAAAAAGTGAGAAAAAAACAAAACGCAGAACACGTTGACAACAGGATGTATGATTTTTTTTCTCTCCCACAATTTTTTTTGTCTTTTACCAACGAGCACAAGAAACTTTCCACACATCATTTCCTTTCCTACACACTGGCCATACCCGGAAAACTAAGAGCGTGAGCCGTCTACACGGCCCCCCAGGCAAGTTGCCCTGTGGATCCGACCTGCAGACCCTTTGTAAACTGCCTGGCCTTCTCAGAACCAGCGGAGTGGAGAACCGAACAACAGCGTGTTGAAGCCGCAAAGAATCCCATAAAGTACCCGTGACACAACATCGTTCTCAGAACCACTCTAAGGCATCTCAATGTTGAATTTCATAGCGCTGTAGCAGCAATGGCGTAATAGTGAAAGGTTGAAACTAATAGGCAGACATATATAGTCAAGTAAAAGTTATTTCCTGCACAAATGAGCATCGAGGCAGTGCTCGTCCATAGTTTACCAGCCCTGAGCGAACGGTAAAAATCCATATTATGGGGGGGTGTGGGGGGGTAGTTCGGGTTTCCCCAAAAAGTGGCACTTGTTTTATCGACCCTGGAGGGATGATGGGCTGAGTCAACCCCCCCAAAACCAGGATTTGAACTGGCAACCTTTCCGAGTTGCGAGCCGCTCGCTCTACCAAATAGCCACCCATCGTCAACCACTGCTCAGCAAAACCAATTACGGCTCCGCCAGTCAGCACGTCCAATGAGAACGCAATCGGTGCATACATTTTCACATCGTTGGCACAGTTTGCAAGACACAAACGGAAACAATAATTCGGCTATAATCATTTCAGGACCTCAAACGTACCTTATCAGATGCAAGTTGCACAGTATAACGTATCCACACTCGGCAGCCACTCACAATCGATGCAGCGGCATTTGCAAATTAGCAAATGGTGAGGCGAGGGGCCACTCGTATGCAGGCGTGTTCAGGAAGTATCTTACGATGCAAGGTAGCAAATCGCCGGGTCCCATCGCATGCTTTTGGGATGGCGGAAACCACACATCGAGGGCAGCTCCTTTATCGAGCGATAACACCCGCCGCTTCTCTCATGGAGTGCAAAAAATATATAATTAATTATTGCCCAGTTATTTCCCTTTTCTCCTAAAACACCATGCAAAGCCATCCCAGTAGGCTGCCTTGGGACACGGTGGAAGTGGAACGTAAGTTGGTGACCCACTTCAGTTACAGGGGAATTAGGTTGGTTACTTTGGCAAAGAGATTACATGCACAGGAGAGTTGGGTTTGGTTTGGCAAAAGAGATTTTTTTTGGTAAACCAGAACACGATCAACGAGTGCCAATTTACGAAGGGCAACAAAAACTAGCGGTAAGATTATTCTGATCGTAATTCAATTGTCTCGATTTGAGAATTGATTCTTATCTCATTTAGTGGTAAAAGTTGCACCTCTCGCGGCTGGTGGGGTCTGGTGAAGCGATTGCATATACGAACATCCGAATCGGGGGAAAAAAGACAGATGCATATTTTACGCGTAATTCTGTGCATGCATCATGAACTCAAGAATTAATCTTACACACGTGATCTGATGAATGAATATATAGTGCGCTTAAGAATCAAAATTGATTGGCTAATCAAAACCAGACAAAACTTAACACCTTTTAAGTTAAAATTTCTTAATTCGTATTTCATATGCGTACCACCTCAGTTTATTCCTAAAACGTATCTGCCTCAGGAATGCAGGGCAGCTGAATTCCTTTTATTTAAATTGCTGGGTGGATCTTGCCTCGTTATCACAAGATCAATTCTTCCAACAATCCAAAGTGCCAGAAACATTTTATAATTCTACTTTTTGATATAAATTAGATTAAGTAATACCCTGATAAATTATTGAAGGGGTTGTCTGCTACTCGGCAGCTCCTATTAAGTAACTAATCATATGCCAATTGAAAACCTGGTCGGACATTTCTTACGTTTAATAATCATCAGGCCCCACGGCATGAAGTGCAGTCTCCCACCCTTAACTTTATCTCGACTTATGTTGCTATGAAGGGCCGTTGCCCGAAATGTCACTTATTATATATTTGGTTTATTATAAAAAGGCAGTTATAAGCGAATGTATCGAATTGTTTGTGTCGAATCAATGCATCGTTATACCCATATTATTAGTACTCAAGGTACCACAAAACATGTCAATTCCCAATTTCGCATCAACGATACGGCTTGGGCCAAATGTTTCCTCTGCACGAATGAGACAATGAACACGAACGTGCGCTGGTGCGGGTGGCAGCTGTGCCTTGCTACTGCTGCTGCAACATCAACAGTGGTGTTAATATCTGCGTCCCAAAATTGGCTTAATGTTTGCTCAACAGCAAATGGCAACTGTGCATTGTGCAGCTGTTCCCTACGCGCACAATTAAGAGGCCTCCTATTGTGATGCATTAGGCAATCGGCAATCTGCGTACCACTATCCATCGCCGTTAATATTAATGGTAAATAACCAATCTCGGGAAAAACAAGTTAATGCAGCACCAAACTCAGAGGAGTCCATCACAGTAATGTTCTTGCTTAATAAGCTTTCCCCGATTGAGCCTCATTCATCAAGGGGCTTTTAAATGCCAATTTAATCATAGCGTCTGCAATGAATACAATTATAACAATGCGCGTCTCGTTTTAGGTGTTGCCACGAAGCAATTAATCATGCAACGTCAGCCTTCGTTAATATCTCGCCAATCCAGCGGTCACCCTTTTTCTTTGGTGACGTGGCTGGAACGACATTCTGAGCTTTGATGAGCGACCACGAATCTTAATTGCCGAGCAACAGCCGCCGTGATGTAATGGTTAGCACGCTGCAGTTGCA